TACATATTTTTACAATTGGACACTTCATTTAAAAATCGTTTTGTATGTCAATGTTTTTAATAAATAAAAAAAAAAAATAGACATATCTGACCGATAATGTTTCGTATAGTGGATACACATCTGTTAAGTTAGAAAAAGATACTCACAACATTTCATTTTATTTCACATATTTCAGCGGGGACACTTATAGCTTTAAACATTTGGAAGGACAAATCGGCATCACCATTGATACTGATCTTGGATATGGAATAGGGTCTTTCTTTATGCCATTATTGTCTGATCCTTTTCTTGGAACGATGATCCCGTTCTCCTCAAATAACACTATTCAATCCAATGACACCGGTATACTTAGAAGCCTCAATGTTTCTGTCACTGAACCATCATCAGATTCTACGGATAAATATTACATTGAAAATTCAAGAATTGAATATCCGTTCGCCATTTCTGGTATTGCAACAGCTAGCCTGTCGATAATATTCTTCTTATTTCAAATAATTGAATACAAATATACCAAACATGGAATGGACAATCATGCAGCAAAAGGGGAAATGGCATTCCCAAATAGTGAATTGCCAAGTGCAGATAATGATAATGGTTCCAAGTCAAAGAAAGTAAATTCAGAGATCAATAGTGAAATGAAAAGATCAAAATGGGAAAAATTAAAACTACTAATTCAGTTGATAAACCCGGCATCTTGCGCGAATGGAAGATTTTGGTATGGATTCAGTATAATCTTTCTGATGTTTTTCTATTTTGGAAATGCCGGTGGTGGACAATTTATTGTCTCTAACTTTGTTAGAAGCTACTCTATTGATCAGCTTCAATTTTCTTCGGAGAATGGAACGTTGATAAATACAAGTTACTGGATAAGCTTTTCCATAGGTCGCTTCTTATTCTTTATCTTTGCAAAATGGACGTCTGTTAAGATTCTTATTTTTGTTGAAGCATTTGGTGCTACTTTCTCCGCTGTATTGATGGCTATATTTGCAGACGAAAGTTCAATTGCACTATGGGTACTTATCCAACCTATTGCATTCTTTTGGGGTCCAGTGTGGCCAACTGGTGTTGCATGGACAGATTATCATATGGTACTAACTGGTATGGGGATGACTTCTCAGATGCTTGGAGCAGCTTTAGGGGGAATGTTTCATATGCGTTTAATTGGCTATCTTTACGACAATATCGGTCCAAAGACATACTTATATCATGTTGCTGGGAGTGCGGCCTTTGGATTGATTTTAGCAATAGCTTTGAACGTTATTGGGGCGAGACATGGAAACCGGTTTGCAACAGAAGTTGAAGAATGTGTTGACGAACAAAATGAAACGGATAAAAATTCAAACGAATTAGACGGCAAAATATCAACCAGGCTCTAGAGTATCTGACTATTGATTGAATACCAGTGCTATATGCTCTGTACACAACAATTTGTTTTCCTAATAAACATACTTTATCATATTAAATTTGAGTCGACTTTAAGCGGAACGTCTCTTTGAATATTTTTTTCTTTTAAGTCTCAAATAAATGACGGTTTGACATTTATTGATAAACATTGTTAGGTGAAAGACCTGTAAGAAGTTGCATTGTTCTAAATGTGACATTAATAGTTTAAGTATGCAAGAGGATGTACACTATTTTAAATTTAAATGAGCTACGACAAACAAACTTCAAAAGCTAAACTGGAAACTTACCAACTAACGATCAGGAGAAAGGGTGATCCCATTTATGCATTAATCAAAATTGCAGACTCGGTTTGACTAAGTTTGTACTAAGACATTGTTGCGCCACCTATCTTATTACACGTTCTGTAATCAATGGTTGGGACTATCTCTTGTAATAACAGGGGTAAATTTGATCAAAGTGTATCAACTTAATAGCAAAGAAAAGCATTTACTTCTCAATACCCTTCTTTGAGTAAGATAAAAAAGTATAATTTGGAAAAGTGTTGTTCCACTAAATGTTCTTGATTCAATATAAAGAAATGCTAAGGTAAGGATAACATTTCTCTAGGGAAACATTCTTGGTAATGTATCTACCAAGAAAAGAGCTAAATGATTGATTTAACTGGCTGATTTAAAAAAAATACAGAGTTAAAAACAGTTACTTTAACCAAATAAAAGTAGTTATTATAATATTAAATTTTATTTATGTCAGCCTTTGTATTACCTGTCATTCAGGGTAAGCATGACAACAGGTATATCCACAGAGCATATCAGATAATCCAAGGGTATCAACCTATAATAAAGAAACTACAAGAACTGTTAGTAGGACAGCGCGCTAGACTATTCTCTGTGCTTGATAGTAAAACAAGAGCCTGGGTAATGTATAGCTAAGGATAGTGATTTTCTATTATGCTGTGAAGTTTTAACACATTAACGTCAGTAGTTTTGGAGATACCAACTTGCATGCAAAAACCAAATTGTGACTTAGGTGGTTATATCAGCTCTCCATCTTCTTTATTCTGCAACTTATAACATTTTAGAAGGCTCTTATCATTCTCTTTGGAATAAACATATTACATGTACCCCCTATTTTATATAGAAGAAATAGCTAGACATCTGAAAATAAAGCTTTAATGAAACAAATGAAAAAGAACTATAGAATTTAATATAAGTTTTTTTATTGCACTAGCATGTTAAAATGACATCACATGTGAAAGGAATTAGGATATGTACGGAAAAATCACGGACAAATAAAGCTTCAATGACTGACAACTGTTTTCAAAAATACATTATCTACACTGCAATAAGACATTAATATAATTTGATACGACTCAACAATTATAAATGTAAATGTCTATTGTACATTATTAAATCAAGACAACAATGCACATAAAAATTTATGATAATAAAAATTGAGATAAAAAACACTATGTTATCATCTAAGATAATATGGGAAAATATAAAACAAATACTATCAGAAACAGCAGTTGACTATTCTCAGACCTTGACAGAGGATTGAGTAAAGGGCTATGAATACATTATTAAAGGTACATAATAATGTCAAAGTTAATAGCGCTTATAAAAATGAAAAGTAATAAGTGAAAAACATACATCTGATTGAAATTGTTCGCAAAATACAATATATAAGTATCAATATATATTCTAAACTTGATCTATCATCCCTGAGATAGTGAGAAAATCGTTGTCAAAACAATGTTTAGTACAAAAATCCTTTTGAAATTATTACAATTTTATTTTATTAATTAATAATAATTATCATTACATGTGTATCAGACATTAATAAAGAAATATCATTATCTGTGTACTTTATAAAACTTAAGAAAAATAAAGGTTTGACAATGACGTTTTAAAAGTGATCATTATCCTTAATAAGCAACAATTAACACAGGTGTGGCATAAGTTAATAGCAACAACATACTCTTCCCTTGACATGCTATATGATTTTAATAAAGAACAGTCAATGGTAGCCATAGTAAATAAGCCATATTCATATAAAAACATGATTCATAACAAACTAACTTAAACTAGAAATGTGTCTGGAGGACATTTATACGCCAACTTTGTTTGCCTTTCACAGTTGCATATTTACAAATTAATACATTTTGGTCATATCTTGGCTGTTGACCTACCTAGAAAGCTTTTCTGGTTAACTATCCTGTTATTACGAATTTTTGGCAAATGACTGGCTACTAATTCAACATTGCATGACCATTAGACAAAATGTTCTTGATGACTAATGCCTTGAACCCAGGAACCACTGGATTACAAATTATATGCTCTCACTATTGAGCTAAGCATTGACTAAGGAAACTACAGTTGTTGATTTTTATTTCACATTAAGTGTCACTGTGCCCTTGACCTAATGACTCAAAGACAATACTGATCATATACTGGCTATAGGCAATTTCTCTACTGAGATTAACTACATGTACCTTATTTCTATTTCTTCCCAAGAAATTGTTTGGACAAGGATTTTAGAGATTGTCACCTTGCCTAGACTGTATGTGACCATGTATCAATGACCTCAAAATCAATTCGGGTCATCTTCTGGCAATGTGCAATGTCACTATCAAGTTCCATAAACCATGGCTGATTCCTTTCATACACTGATAACATGCAATACAGATCAGCACAGTAAGCTTCCACTACATAAATAACGGGGCAATAAAATCGGACGAATAAAAGTGGATCGATATCAAAAGGTACCCTATACCATATCATTAATGATAAGATTGTGAAAGTAAATTGGCATGAAAAATGTAAATGTAAAAATAAAATCTAAAAGCTAAACTTTAAAAAAGTCATATTATAAACCAGAATAGTTAGTATTATAACAAATATTTACACTGAGATCTTAAAAATCATAAAATTTGAAATTCTTTCATAAATCAACTGCTGCACTTAAAATGGAAAACTATGCAATAGATAATATATAAATATAAATATACCCCGTATTAGATTGACAATCGCTGTTTATGCAAATATGGGCTGATCTGAGTGAAAAGCTTTGCAAAGCTTTTTAATTTAAGGTAAATTTGCTCAATAAAATTGATAATTAACGGGAAATGGAGTGAGCAAATGATCAGAAATTTTGCACATAAGATATTGGTCAAGACCTACATCCTGTTATACAAAAATCTTGAAAAAATATTTTCAATCCCTTCATGTCAAAAAACTTGAGTGGAGTCCCTTTAAGTACAAACCTTACAGATAAAAGTAATTTCTTGTATCAAACAAAACAAACAATTTCATTCAACAAACGAAATGCAAATGAACAGAAAAAAAGTCACAGTGAAGTATTTTTCAAAAACTACATTAATAGTTTCATGAACAATCAATCAAAATTATCTACATGTAATTAAAGTCAAATATCAACACCATGTATATAAAAACAAGTTCATAGCATGTTAAACAATCCTTAAAAAAAGTTTATTTACTGTTAAGTTATGATGTTTTAACAGTGGATATGTAGATATATTTTTCCTTTTTTAAAGACTTTTTTTCCTTGGCATTTGATTAGCATACAGTTTTGCCTTCTTTTAATTGACATTTTAAATATATTTCCGCTTATTAATACCTACAAATGAAATATATTAAAAATGTTATTTATTACACTAACTTTATATCAATCAGTATCATTCTCTTTCTGGGTCAGCTAGTCTTATTCTTATAGACAGGACAATATAAAGAGATAAATGTAACACAACACAGCAAGATTACTAAGGAAGCACAGAGGGGACATTCCGATTTGATTTGATTTTCCACGAGAGAGCAAATTTTGTGTTTTGTTCTGAGTTATATCTCATGGGAACGAGATAGCAAATTTTTGTTCTTTTTTCGAGTTATAACTCGTGGCCACAAGATAGCAAAAAAAAATTTTCTGAGTTATACCTCCTGGCCATGAGATAGCAAATTTTGTTTTTTTTATTTTTTCTGAGATATATCTCATGGGAACGAGATAGCAAATTTTTGTTTTTTGTTTTTTTCTGAGTTATATCTTGTTGCAACCAGATAGGAAAATAAAATAAAATCAAAGTGTCCCTTCTGTGCTTCCATAGATTACTGTGGCAAAAGCAGCTTATTCATTATATTGTAAAGTCATACTGAAATTGAACAACCTTTTTGAACAATTTTATCTCCACCTTTTTTTTCACTTCCATCCCTATCAAATATGATTTGACAAATATACAAATAAATATAACTTTTAACTATATCAACATATTACAACAATAATCAAATAGGAAAGTGAGTTGGCTTTTTAGGGAAATTTACTAAATGTCATAAATGTATGAAAGTCATTGGTATAAATATGGAGACAGTTTTACAACTACTAGGAAAAATAAATAGTTCATAGTATGTCAAACATCTTTTTTTTGTATTTTACTTAAATACTATTGATATGTAAAAATATCTTACATATAAAAATATCACATGGTTCAAAAGTTTTGATTTTTATTCCACTTCTTCTAATTCTTTGCCTACAGGATCAGAATCACCTATATGAACTGTAAACATGTCAATATCTCTCAGCCTTCCTTGAGTTTCCTCTGGTAAAGGATTATCTTGCAGATCTAATTCTCTTAAAGATGACATCTTTCTCAACCTTTCTAAGTCAATGTCTGAAATAGAATATGAAATACATTTAACACATAAACCTGCTGGCCATAACTGAAAACACCCATGTTACTAGTGCAGACTAGATCAGATGGAACTTTTCTTGTCTGTTTACTGTTCAGTCACCCCGTAATTTTGAATTTCTTCTTAAATGATAAATGGTTTTGTGCAGATTGAAAGATGGACAAGTCCACAGTGGTATTTAAAGTAATAGGTTAAAACTTACTATTCTAGAGACAAACTGTTCAGATAAATACTTGTTAAACCTAAAGACAAATACATGTATGTCTACAAGGTCTTAAGATGCTAAATGGCTAGAATTATTGGTCTTAAACAGTAACAAACAATTATTTCTCTGAAGAAGTGTAAGAAGTTTCAAGTGAATACCTGCAGTGGCTGTCAACATAGAAGTTATATATGTGTATGCAAAAATTTGACCTTGTACATAATGGTATAAATCAGTAAAACTCCATTTTATAGAAAGTGGCTTTCAAAGACAACTGAAGACATAAAGGTTTGTAAGCCCAACTATTCTTTGATTATTCTGACTTATAATATAGTTAGGCCTCTATCACATCAGCCTTACAGCAGGCGTATGAACGAATTTTGACAAAAACTGCTGAGTTTCGTATAGGAGTCGCAAATCATTCCTATGAATTCTTTAAAATCGCAAGGCTGCCAAAACGTTGCAGACTGATTTCTCAACACGCAAGTAATTTCTGCAATTTTCTGACAGATTTATGGCAGATTCAGGATTTCTAAAAATGTTTTGCGTTTGTCTTGTGAGGACAGCAGGTTTGCCGTACGAACATCTTGCAGCTACCGCAGAGCGTTATCAAATGATGTCAAATGACAGATATACAAATTTGTCTAGATAGACTGCGAAATTACCTGCGGCCAAATTTCTTGCGGTTGATGTGATAGAAGCTTTAACAAACTAAACATGCTCATTAAAATTCAATTAAAAATTAAACAATCATATCAAACATACAATGTAATAACTAGATGAAGAAGGATTACATATAGGCATTCTTTGTCTCTTCCAACTTTTCCACCAGAATATTATTAATTCAAATGATGAAGGAATGCCTTTGCTCTCATTTTTTTAAGCTTTTGCCTTAAAGAAATTTTTTTTTAATGTCTTGGAAATACTAGTATACCTGGCCATTAAATTGCCTTAAACAGTATGACACACCTTTTATTATTCAAAATCAACAACTTTGGCCATAATTACATAGAATTATAAATCCTTACCTGTGATTTTGTTGCCTTTGGCAGAGACTGTGTTTAATTTTGGAGAATCATAGATTACGGGAAGACTTTCAAATTTATTGTTTGATATATCTAAAACTTGTAACTGCTCCATATCTCTCACTTCTTCAGGAAGACTAGACAAGTTATTATCTTGTAGCTGAAGCTCTGAAAACAGTTAAAAGATTATCATACACTCATAGATAAAACAATTACTTCACTGAAACTTATGTTATAACTTAACCTTTATGCTACTGAATAAGAATGTAATCAATTGTGTTCAATCTTGAAATTTTATAGCTATCTGCTGTTAAATTTAAAGGGGTTTGACTATCAAAATACTTGACTGAAGCAGTGATTTGGTCTGGTATGAGACAGCCATATCTGCAGGCTGCTCTAGTTTTATACTGATATGTAAAACATTATCACCATTTAAAATGATAAGATTTTTCATATGGTTGTATGTTTATAATATAAAGCCAGTTAAACTATTTTGATAATTTACAAAAGTGCATGGATTGCAGTTATCTACAGGTAACCCAGAACCTCATTGGATTTTTTGGGACTGTAAAAAAAACTATTTCTGGATTATAATTACCCCTTTTCATAACATTTGTCATCACAATTAAAAGAGGCTGGTGTTAGGCAAGTATCTTTATTTATTTATTAAACCACATATATTTTGAAAGGAAACTAACAATCCCAATTATATTACCTGCTATAATTATCCATTTAGTTATTATTTTTTTATAAGAACAAAACAACTGTTACTTGTAAGACATTTTAGTGATATAAAACATTGTATATATATGTTTAAAGTCTGAAGTAATATTACTTCCCTTTCGCCAGACCTTACTGGTTTGTTTGACCAATTATAATCAAGGATCAACATAAATTATTTTGAGTGGGGCATGCTTCATTATTATGAGAGGTACAACAAAATCCAACTGTTATTAATTATTCATATTTTCCATAATATGGATGCAACAAATATCATAAATTTTGTGTTATATATTTCAATACAGATTATTGCTGCTACACTCTAAAATGTATATTAAACATTTATTTGTACCATTATTTAGTACATACTGATTAACTAAAAAGTGTCATCTTTGAGCATGAGGTTAGAATTTCAAGACCTTACATTACTTAAAACAACAAGGGTTATTCAGGACCACTGCTGGGGAAAACAATTTGAAAGGTAACCTGTTAAATCTGTAAACTTTGTACAAAATTTGGTTGGTATCCTCTTAATATTGTTTCCACTGAGATCACATTTGTTTATAACACTGTCCTTCAACATAAAGTAGGCTGCATCTGGTATCTTCATAAGCTCACACTTGGAAAGATCTGTAAACATAAGGCATGGAATGAAAAATTACATTTCTTTCATATTACATGTATAAACAATAATGTTATGTATGATGTATCCATTGACATTATATTCATTTAATAGTGTAATAAAATTAATGCGCATTTTTTGGTGCCCATTGGTGCCAGAAATATTTAACAATGCGGCACCTATTAAGGTCTTCCCAAACAAGCAAAGATTGAAAGTCGCCGTATCATGGATATGACCTATACTTGGTTAGATGTAAAGTCCAACCAAAACAAGAGGGCCATGATGGCCCTGAGGTCGCTCACCTGTATATAGCCCCCCCACCCCCACCCCCCCCCCCCCGGCCCAATTTTTACCCAAGGGCTTTTATTTGTTTATTTGAACAGACTTGGGAGACACCCATAAGAAGATATTTCATGCAAAACATCCAAGTTCTAGCTCATTGGGTTTTTTAAAAGAAGATTTTTTAAGTTTTTACTATACACATATAGTTAATAACACTGACACCCCTCGGGCAGGGCCAGTTTTGACCCCTGGGCTTTTATTTGAACAAACTTTGTAGATATTTACTTAAAGATGTTTCATGCTTAATATCTAAACTCTAGTTATTTGGGTTTTTTCAAAGAAGATTTTTAAGTTTTTGCTATGTATATAAGGAAAATCAATGACCCCCGGGGCGGGGCCAGTTTTGACCCCAGGGCTTTTATTTGAACATACTTGGTAAACACCCATTAGAACATGTCTCATGCTAAATATCTTAGCTCTAGCTCTTTGGGTTCTTTAAAAGAAGATTTTATAAGTTTTTACTATATGCATATAAGGAAAATGAATGACCCCCTGGGGCGGGGCCAATTTTGACCCCAGGGCTTTTATTTGAACAAACTTGGTAGACATTCACTAGAAGATGTTTCATGCCAAATATCTAAGCTCTAGCTCTTACGATTCTTTCAAAGAAGATTTTTTAAGTTTTTACTATATGCATATAGGGAAAATCAATGACCCCCGGGGCGGGGCCAATTTTGACCCCAGGGCTTTTATTTGAACAAACTTGGTAGACATTCACTAGAAGATGTTTCATGCCAAATATCTTAGCTCTAGCTCTTTGGGTTCTTTAAAAGAAGATTTTTTAAGTTTTTACTATATGCATATAGGGAAAATCAATGACCCCCTGGGGCGGGGCCAATTTGGACCCCAGGGCTTTTATTTGAACAAACTTGGTAGACATTCACTAGAAGATGTTTCATGCCAAATATCTAAGCTCTAGCTCTTACAGTTCTTTAAAAGAAGATTTTTTAAGTGTTTACTATATGCATATAGGGAAAATCAATGACCCCCGGGGCGGGGCCAATTTTGACCCCAGGGCTTTTATTTGAACAAACTTGGTAGACACTCACTAGAAGATGTTCCATGCCAAATATCTTAGCTCTAGCTCTTACAGTTCTTTAAAAGAAGATTTTTTAAGTTTTTACTATATGCATATAGGGAAAATCAATGACCCCCCGGGGCGGGGCCAATTTTGACCCCAGGGCTTTTATTTGAACAAACTTGGTAGACACTCATTAGAAGATGTTTCATGCCAAATATCTAAGCTCTAGCTCTTAGGGTTGTTTAAAAGAAGATATTTAAAGATTTTTCTTTCGGTTGCCATGGCAACCAGAGTTCTGCATGGAATTAAATTCTTTGAACAATTTTTAAAGGTGACCACCAAAGGAACATTCCTGTGAAGTTTGGATGAAATTGGCTCAGTGGTTTATGAGGAGATGTCATTTAAAGCAAAAGTTTACGGACGGACGACGGACGCCGGACGAAAAGCGATCACAAAAGCTCACCCTGTCACTTTGTGACAGGTGAGCTAAAAATAAAATATGTGTATTTCCAGTCATATTAAATTCACATAATAATAATAATAATAATTATAATAATAATAAAAACAAGCAATTATCATAGTATTGCAAGCAATCCATAAGTCCCCTACCGGTAAGAGCCCAAGCAACATTCTGAAGGGCCATTGGCCATTCACTTATGTTTCTATTTTAAGTAAATTTGTTGAAAAAGTTCTTTAAAAGTGATCACAGTGAACAGACAGACAGACGGACTGAAGGACAGTCTAAAGTTATTTTTTAAACATCCCTGTTATCAAAATATAACATTTTAAAAGCAAAATTTTTAAAAAAAGGAGATAACGATGTCATACATGATGTGAGTGTAACAAAGAACAATTAGTAATGAAGGTATGAATATTGAATATTTATTTTGAAATTGAAGTAAATGAAAGTTAAAAGAACAAATAGGAAAAATTAAAAGTTTAAGGAGGAGATAATTCTGGAAATATGGATGCTAGATTTATAAACCTTGTCATATTATAATGATGTGGGAGTTTGAAGAATATTCTATCATGATTGAAGAAGTTGGAGTAAAAATTATCAATTTCTCAAAAAAAAGTCTAAGTTCAAAAGGGGCATAATTCTGGAAATAGTCTTGCTAGAGTATTGAACACTCACAAATGTTGAGTGATAATAAGAAACATTTATATGAAGTTTGAAGTAGATACGTTCAAAAAAAAAGAAGTTATTAAAAAAAACAATGTTTTTTTTCATGAAAATTTTAAGTTCAAGGGAGGTAATTCTGATAAATTTTGTGCTAGAGTTGTAAACTTTGTCACATATGATGTGGTTGATGACTAGCAACTTATTTTTAAAGTTTGAAGAAAATACCTTAAGAAACTAGAACTGTGTCCAAAGGACACGGATGCCCCCACTGACAACATATATATGGTATATAGTGAAAAAATCAACAAAGGGCCATAATTCTGTTAAATTTGGTCGCAGCAAAAATTCTTTCCTTTACTACCATCTACACATTAAGGTTGTTCATCCCTGGAAGTTTAAGCAAAATCTGCCATCCGGTTTATAGAGGAGTTGCGTTCACAAAATTTCTATATGGTATATAGTGAAAAAATCAACAAAGGGCCATAATTCTGTTAAATTTCGTCACAGCAAAAATTCCTTCCTTTACTACCATCTACACATAAAGGTTGTTCATCCCTGGAAGTTTAAGCAAAATCTACCATCCGGTTTAAGAGGAGTTGCGTTCACAAAATTTCTATATGGTACATAGTGAAAAAATCAATAAAAGGCCATAATTCTGTTAAATTTGGTCGCAGCAAAAATTCCTTCCTTTACTACCATCTACACATTAAGGTTGTTCATCCCTGAAAGTTTAAGCAAAATCTGCCATCCGGTTTAAGAGGAGTTGCGTTCACAAAATCTTTATATGGTATATAGTGAAAAAGCCAACAAAGGGCCATAATTCTGTTAAATTTGGACGCAGCAAAAATTCCTTCCTTTACTACCATCTACACATTAAGGTTGTTGATCCCAGGAAGTTTAAGCAAAATCTGCCACCCAGTTTAAGAGGAGTAGCGTTCACAAAATTTCTACATAGTATATAGTGAAAAAATCAACAAAGGGCCATTATTCTTTTAAATTTGGTCGCAGCGAAAATTCCTTCCTTTACTACCATCTACACATAAAGGTTGTTCATTCCTGGAAGTTTAAACAAATTTTACCATCCGGTTTAAGAGGAGCTGTGTTCACAAGATTTCGGGACATACGGACAGACAGACGGACAGACGGACGGACAAGTGCAACGCTATATGCTCCCACTCTGTGGGGGCATAATAAAGAACTTATAGTGAAAAAACTTAAAAACTAGAATCAGAAATCTTGAAATTCAGTCTATTTGTTGCCATAGCAACCAGAATTTTCAACACAGGAAGATAAGAAAAGGATGTGCATAATTTCCATACTGCCATCTACCCATATGTCAAGTTTCATAAAAATATTTTCAATACTTTTTGCGTTATCACTGGATCCAGGTTATGTGTAAAATCTGCCATATTTTCAGTCTATTTGTTGCCATAGCAACCAGAATTTTCAGCATAGGAAAAAAAGAAAAAGACGTGCATAATCTCCATACTGCCATCTATCCATATATCAAGTTTCATAAAAAAAATTTCAGTACTTTTTGCGTTATCGCGGGATCCAGGTTATGTGTAAAATTTGCCATATTTTCAGTCTATTTGTTGCCATAGCAACCAGAATTTTCAATATAGGAAGAAAAGAAAAAGACGTGCATAATCTCCATACTGCCATCTATCCATATACCAAGTTTCATTAAAATATTTTCAGTACTTTTTGTGTTATCGCGGGATCCAGTTTTGTGGACGGACGGACGGACTGACGGACGGACAGACGGACATACCAAAATTTGATGTTTATGAGGCAAATGAGCTCATAAACACCACCTGGACCAACGTCCATAAGCAAAATAAGCTCATAAAAACAAAAAAAATAGCTCTTAATTTGAATTTTATGAGTTTATGTTCTTTATTTAACTACGGAATGAAGCTCATAATAATCAAATGTTGGCTCGGACGGACGTACTCACAAAATGGTACTTATGTGACCTTTCCTTTGATCTTTTTGGCCATTTTTAGTCACACAAGGCTTAAAAAAGACACACAAGTAAAAACGGAATGAATAGGATCAAAGAGAATTTACTGTTACCCATTGTTCTCCAAGTCACACAAGTACCTCTGGGTTCGTACGGACTGACGGACGGACGGACAGACGGACGGAGGGTAAACCTAAAGTCCCCTCCGGTAAACCGGTAGGGGACTAAAAATAATAATAATACATTGTAGTAATAATAATAATAATAATATTAATAATAATATCAAGCTACATATAGTCATCCCTTTTTGAGTACCATGTTCAAACCATCAGGTTAGTCACAGCATTTTACCAGCACTTGTTTATTAACAGCAATTCTATGACAGGTTTGACAGCAATACAAGACTAGCCTATATACAACTGCATGTATACAGTATATTTATAATTGCCAGCATATAAGGCTTTCACTGGTAAGCAACACCAAACCATATTTAATATGGATTTTTTTTATTTAGATAATAAAACTAACAATGAATGCATAAACATAAGATCTATACTTTATTCATCTATTAAGCATTAAATAGGGCTTAAAACTACATGTTTCGTTGATTTGTTACATTTATATTTACATCTTGTATGGGAGTTAGACAGTAGGCCTCTTGAGTCCCATATCTGTTCATAACATTCCAGTGATGGTCTAGTCTGGTTTTGAAGGTATCTGTTGTTTGAGCCAAAACAACTTTTTCTGGCAGTTCACTCCATGAGTAAACAATTCTATTAAACGGAGAAAAAGGTTTTTATGCAGTAAAGTCCCTTGTTTAGTGTTGGTTGTAAACTTTAAGATGATGTCCTCTAGTGGATGATATGTTTGTTTTCTTGAAAAATCTTTCTGAATTAACTGAATATTTTTCATTTATCTTATGGGTTTCTATTAAATCACCTCTTACACGGTGCATATCCATATCGGTACCCTCTTTGCGAAATCTGCTCAAACGGTACCCTCTCTGAACATGCACAGGTCATTCTCTGCTAAAAACAAACCAGCGATAGATACCAATCCAGTAAAATTTCATTGTAATAAGGAAAGGAGGTATGTCACGTAGAAAAGATGTATACCACGGAACACTAGGATGTTTTATTTATGTGCTGATTTGTCATGTGCCCGATTTTCATGTACTGCAACTTCACAATAAGCTACAAAAAATCGACTAGTCTTGCTTCGCCCATCACCTCGACATATTTTTCGGGCTGAAATGAACCTGTGGCTTGATTATATATGCATCATACATATTTAATATGTTCATATACATATCATCTTCGGACAAATGGCAGTATAATGTCAAAAATAAATGTAAAATTCATAAAAACACCCTACTTTCGGTTTTGCAGCGGCACGGGCTACCTCTCTTCATTTCAATTTTTATATCACAGGTACCCTCTCATTATTGAACACATAGGTACCCTCAAAGCACGACATATGCTTTTATTTGCGTTAATCGTTAAGTGTGTATGTAATACTTTTTACTTTTATGTAAACATTACATACTTAATGATTAACGCAAATAAAAGCATATGTCGTGCTTTGAGGGTACCTATGTGTGAAAAAATGAGAGGGTACCTGTGATATAAAAATTCAAATGAAGAGAGGTAGCCCGTGCCGCTGCAAAACCGAAAGTAGGGTATTTTTATGAATTTTACATTTATTTTTGACATTATACTGCCATTTGTCCGAAGATGATATGTATATGAACATATTTAATATGTATGATGCATATATAATCAAGTCACAGGTTCATTTCAGCCCGAAAAATATGTGAAGCGAGACACGTCGATTTTTTGTAGCTTATTGTGAAGTTGCAGTACATGAAAATCGGGCACATGACAGATCAGCACATAAATACAACATCCTAGTGTTCCGTGGTATACATCTTTTCTACGTGACATACCTCCTTTCCTTATTACAATGAAATTTTACTAGCTTGGTATCCATCACTGGTTTGTTTTTAGCAGAGAATGACCTGTGCATGTTCAGAGAGGGTACCGTTTGAGCAGATTTCGCAAAGAGGGTACCGATATGGATATGCACCGTGTCTTAGGTGTCTGTCTTTCAAGCTTTACACATTTAACTTTTTTAAATGGTTTTCGTAATTTAAGCTTGATATTTCAGGAACTGAAATTGTAGCATATATTTCTGAACTCTTTCTAAACATTCAATATCACTGACATAATAAGGGTTCCACGAATATACAGCATATTCCATTAAAGGTCTAACATAAGTTGGATATGTATGACTTTAAAGCTATTGATGAAAATATGTTTAAAACCCCGTCTCAGTAAGCCAAGCCTTTGAAAAGCTTTTTTAGCAACCATAGCACATTGACTACTACCAGGCTGGCTAACAAACATCAGTTACAGTCACTCCGAGGTCATTTTCACTTCCAGATTTTGACATTTCAATCCTATTGACAGTATAAACATTCCCTGGGTCACAATATCAAAGCCAAAATGGACATTTGTTCTTATAAATTCAAACCAAGTGAAAGTCTTTCTATCTATCTTCCTTTTCTGTCTAACTCGGGCGGCATGAAATACCCAAATATTGCCCAGATATCAAACAAATATAAACTTTAAGTAAAATGCTTCTAAAATATTTTATGTACAATGACTTAAAATACAGGATACTTGTAACAAGAAAAATGCAGAAACACGAAACCAGTGCGCGAAGATTTTCAATTGAAAAGAGTCAACTCGGCCCTATACCAACTCGGCACGGGTCAACTTGGCCCTGTAACTTTACAAAAATATATATAACGTATTAACTTTGCTTTACATGTTAAGGTAAATGAAATATATCTTATTATTATATAATTATACATTGTACTTCTGTCGAAATAAAGTATATTTAGAAAATGTTATTTATTTGTCTTGAAGATTCGATAGGATTAATAAAGATCTAATAAAAATGTGTTTCCTTAGATGCATTATATTTGTAAAGTAATATTAAAAAAAAATGAAACAAAAACGTGTTCACTTAACCCATTACCCCATGAGCATTTTGTGAAAAATGGCTGTTTTCATTGAAAAGTCTCGCGTTACAAGTTCAAGTTGCTATAAAACTATAAAAACTGCTTCAATACTAATCAAACTTGGCACACTTGTTGACTGGACCATTGCCTTTGTAACAACATGCTCAGTCTGAAAATATCCTGTTACCATGGCAACTAGGGGCCATCTCAAAATTGCCAAAAATCACTATTTTGCGTTGATTTTTTCCATCAAAATTGATTTCAAAGTGCTGCCACTTCTCAATGGATTGAGATAGAGTCAAAGGCTTTTCAGCATTGGTTACACGTTACCTTATGATCGACCTGGGGCCATTTTTAGCCTCCCACAAGTCCAAAATTTTCTTGGCGATTTTCTGGCAACCCCCTGATGTATCTTTTGGATGGGGGGCCGCGCCGAAAAAATGGTCAATTTTTTCAACAACATTTCTCAAACAAAAACAAGTGTTTGGGGGCCTAAATAAGGCATTTTTTCACCATTTGAGAAAGCAAAAAGGGGGGGGGGTGAAAAAGGCGTAGAAAGGCGTATATATCTGGTAATGGGTTAATATCATAAGCGTCTAATTAATTGCAGGTGGCCACTAATCAAATTTGAATGAATGAGTCAATCATAATTATCGGTATCGGAATCGGTATCCTTAACATACACATTGATTGATAATAAAAGCCCGTGACATTTATAGGAGTCCTTTAATGTCTTTTACCAATTTCATTTAATTTGTTTGTACAGTAATTGTCAAAAACTTAAAATTATCATAAAAAAATTCATTACTGTCAATCCGTGTAAATATATTTATAAATAATTACAATAATTACAATAAATATTGATAACACAAACCTAAATATTAATAATTGAAAAGTGGGCCGAGTTGACCCGTGCCGAGTTGGTATAGGGCCGAGCTGACTGGGGGGCCGAGTACGTTTTAGGGCCGAGCTGACCCGGATTCATTTTCAATCTGTGATAATCGTTAAATCAATATCACTTGGATTATTTTCCTTTTACTTAAAATTAATTTCACCACAGGAACTTGAAGTTTTATAATGTAAACAATTAAGAGCATTAAATTTTACATTATAAAACTTCGACTTTATCCTAAATTTCTTTAAAATACAGAACAGGAAATTGAAGTTAAACTGTTAAAAACAAAAATATTTCAACAAAAACAAAAAAAACACCTTCTATGCATACATCAGTTTCCTGTGGTTTACAGATATACCTAAAAATTGAGTCTCTTTTGCCTCTTCCAGCCGTCTTGCAACTCTGGCCACTTCTTGCGCCATTTTATATATTTAAAAATAACTCTGACAGCTTCCAAAACTGCCAGTAAACTAAATGGTATTGTTTCTTTGATATAAGCTTTACTCTTTTTCTCATATCAACCAACTGCTTGATTAACAGACAAGTGTACATTATCAATGGAAATGCGAGCGTTTCTTAATACAGATTAGAGGTAGACAGACGTTTCACTATTGAGACGGTTCACACCAAGACGGTTCACACCAAGACGTTTCACTCCCAAATGGGAGTGAAACGTCTTGAAGACGTTTCACTCCCTTTTTATACCAAAATTATTGTGATACTTGTGATATACTAAAATAGACCTAAAATATTGAATTGAACTAAAATAGACCTTAAATTTAATACAAATAAATAAAAAGGGGGATTTCACTTTTTTGTCAATGACTTAAAACTCGGTACTTTAAGTTCTATCATTTCAGTTATTTTATCTTCTTTATTGTTGTTTTGAAATAAGGTGTTTTTCTATTCTTTGATCCATATGTGCAATTATTACATTATTTCACTTAAAGAAAAAATATTTTTGATTAAAATAACACTTTAATATAACTAACTATTTGATCTTTTGTAAACATGGACTCAATAGGCAAATTTAATTTAAAGCATAACTATCTTGTGACAACAACTAAATTTGAGTAATGCGTTTTTTTGTTGTTAATTTTAAATTAAACATGGGATAAAAAATTGTTAAATTATTTAATGCTAGTATAGTGCTTTTGTGATATATGTCAAAAAATTTAATGGCCATTGAAATCAGAAATATCTTTAATTAAATTAGAAGCATTCAGACTTTTTCAATATTTGTCATGTATAATCATTTTTTGTGACTAAAATTCATTATTATATAAACAAAACTTAAGTTTCTGTGTTTAAATTGGCTGTTGTCAAAAAAATATTTAAATGGTCCAATAAACCACTGATTAGTAAACTGTTGATGCTTTAAGTGCAGTGTTTATACAACTGATTTAATAGTGGTGTCAAACTGTTAGTTGATGGTCTCAGTGTTTATACAACTAATTAGCCGATGAGATAACACCACAATTACTTAAGTTTGTTTAATGGCTACTGTTTAATAAATTGTTGAAGAAAAAATAATTTTAAAAAGTAATTTATTTTATACACATGTTTCGCATTTCATTGTTGAAGACTTACAAAAAATAATCATTATATTCATTATAATGAAAATAATCATTATATAATATATTTATTATATTGATATTTTTTATTGTTTGAATAATATTAGATACTTTACTGGTATTGATTTCAATATTTAAATTGATACTTATAATATGTCTTTATTGTTCTTTCTATATTATTCTTATCTTTTTTTTTTAATTTACTGTAAATAGAATTTTCTCATGTTGTTACACTTATAATAAAAGTGATATTTCAGAAATTTGTTTTTCATTTACACCTCTAATCACTCAACCCATAATTAAATGAGTAATCTTCTAATAATTTGTATAAACAATACCATTGAAATCAACAAAATGAAACATTAAATTGAATTTCCTTTTTACACTGTTTGATATTAAAGAAATTAAAATTTGTTAACTTTCCTAGTAAACATCTCTTAAAAATTGGGAGTGAAACGTCCATACAATTGACAAAATGGGAGTGAAACGTCTAGGTGTGAACCGTCTTGGGAGTGAAACGTCTCAATAGTGAAACGTCTTGGGAGTGAAACGTCTGACATTCCAGATTAGATAGTAAATTAATGGAGGACTAGAAGGCAAAAATTAAAATATCCTGGATTAAAAACTTCGCATCTCTGTTCCAGATCAATAATTAACATTGAAAAACGTAAGCACTTGATTATTTATCGAGTTTCACATTAATTTTAGTATGCCAAATTCATCATGTATGTTAGAATTGTATGCAAATCTTGATGAAAATGTTAATTTTCAAGTTTAGGCTTGCATAACCTGATAAAAAATCCGTCTTGGTGTGAACCGTCCCAATAGTGAAACGTCTGTCAACTCCTCCATACGCTTGCAGAATTTATGAACGCAGAATAGAAAAAATATCGCTTTTTAAATTTTATGCAAATTTTTTCTTTTTTCAGTCATCATTGTAGATAAATCAAATGAAGAGATGAATAAGACATCTTAAAGTGCATTTCTGTGGGTGTAATAGCGAGATTTTAGCATTTAAATCATTAAGTTAGCCCCTTGGCCGGTAGTATACAGGAATACAGCTGTCGGCATTTAGTGAGGTGCTACAAAACTTTTTTTAGTCACACTCCAAACAATTTGATAATAGGTTATACCGTAAATAATACAAAATTTGCCCCACTGATGATTTAGAGTCCCAGTTCGACTTGTACCATTTTAGTGATGATTGGCCCCTTTTTAATAATACGTACATGTAGGCAATTTGTACTTTTTCAGTGATATTGTAACCTTTACATATTGGAAGTGAGTACGGCTACCCAAAAGTTCTAGCCGTACGTGAGTCACGTACGACTAGCCAGGACACACTGTATTGGCTAGCCGTACGGCACTTTTCAAAAATATATGGAAGGCGAAAGTGCATATGTTAATTATGACTTAAAGCGAGGATTTTAGTCAAGAATGTTTACTTTTTTGAGATTTATCGACGCGTTGACTACAGTAAAGAATGTACTTTGTCATCTCAAGACGTCGAGAAAAAAAATAGCGTTTGGTTGCAGTTAAATAACATCAATTGAAATAGTTTACAAAATTTTGATAATAATCTTATTTTGTTTCTTTAAGTTAAATTTTTAAATTGAAAAAAAAACAAAACAAAAAAACACCGAAAATAATTGTTGTCGGGCTCTGATAATTGCGTCAACTACCGTCGATATGTAGAAGTTTGTCCATCGTCCATCATTAAGGAAAGTTTGCATTATTAAATTATTTTTCCTTTTCACCGTTTTTTCTAATATTCTTTTAATTTATTTATTTATTCCCCTCCGATCATTATTTATTCGATCCATGTGCTTAATTAACAGATTTAACAATTCATCTTTCATACAAATAATAAGCATGAAAATTAAGGACGTTATAACATGCAACTTTGACAAGATAGATTATACAACGCTTACTCGTATTCATTTTTTTTTGTGCAAAATTGCGGAGCATCTTTATTAAAGTGAACAAACTAGGACAAATGCGGAGATTTGATTAAAATCGTTGTTTAAAGACACAAAATAACATATGCACTTTCGACTTCCATATATTTTTGAAAAGTGCCGTACGGCTAGCCAATACAGTGTGTCCTGGCTAGTCGTACGTGACTCACGTACGGCTAGAACTTTTGGCTAGCCGTACGGGCCCGTACGGCTAGCCACTTCCTTACATATTTATTAATTTTTAAACTAAAAAATAAAAAAATTAGCATTTCAATACATTCTGCCTATATTGGAAAACTAGCTAATTTTTTATCAGAAAAATATAATAACCTTATAAATTAATTTAAACATTATTTATCAATATTATATTCTAGTCCAACTAATTGTATTGCGCAAGGAGATATTGTGTTGGGGCAATATCTGGCCTCAAGAAGCGAGATTCTGACCCAGCACGAAAATATCTCAGAATCTAGCTTTGGCATGTCAATATATTTTGACTATATTATATTCCAACTGAAAAAATAAGGATGTCATTTCAGTTCTGACATACATATCAGACTTCCTGAAAATTGTCAGAATTTATGGAAATGAATGATGACAGACACATTTTCACAAAGTCAGGCCATGATAGACACAAAATGACTTGCTCAAACCTTGATTTTGTTATCAAAGTGTCTGTTGAACAGTTTTTTTTGTCAATCTGACAAAATTCAATGGCTTGTCAGACTAAATGTCTGACAGTTTTTTCCAGCTTTCAGGCAGTGTCTGACATGTAAGTGTTTGTGTATGTGTGTGTGGGGGGGATCATTATCAATTTAATAAAAAGTTAATATTAAAATATCAATCAGTTAATTAATGAGAACTGTGTCTGTTTTCTACATGTTTTCTACTCTTTGTAATTTTATATCAGACTTCAACACATACATGTAGTCATTAAACATTTTGATTGGTCGCAAAACAGATGCTAAGAATCTACATGTATTCTATTTCCTTTGGCTGAATAATCCACATACATGTATCAAAAAAAGTTAAAAATTGGTGAACAAATAAATAAAGCAATCAATGGTTTGGTATTTCTGTGAATCATGTATTAGCATTATTATGAAGTTGGATTGGCACTTAGTACTGCTAGTACTTAGACATTTTAATGTCCATAACCATTAAATTACTGATTGAGACACTTAAAATCCAACAAACTTAAACCCCAGGAAATATGGACATTTCATTCTTTGCTGAAATTCCAATTTTTTTTTTTGTATTTCTACAGGAATATTACCTATCATTATACCAGAAGACTTGTAATTTTTGTAAAATGGTGGAGGAATTCAAACATGGATTTATACGACTGTGTAAGGAGCATGGTCTTGAAGCCCAAGATTGTGTTGTTAATCTGCTTAAAAGGTAAGATCCACTAGAACTCTCATCTGAATATCACAACATTGTTAATACCATCACAGAGACATGAGTGTAGGACAAAAGCCCTCCCGGACAAAAGCCCTCCCGTCAAAAAGTGACAAGGCGGACAAAAGCCCTCCTGTGAAAATGACAAGGCGGACAAAAGCCCACCCGTGAAAATGAGAGGGCGGACAAAAGCCCTCCCGTGAAAATGACAGGGCGGACAAAAGCCCTCCCGTGAAAATAATAGGGCGAACAAAAGCTCTCCCGCAGCAAATACTTATATATGTTACTTTTATTGTACGTTGAATAGTTTATATTTTTTTTTCGATGCACTCAACATATTAAAATTGTAATCATGAATGTTTTGTTTTCCATTGGCATAACCGTGTTTGTATGAGCTTGAGCACATTTCTGAAAGCCATCTGAATAATTAGTGCTAAAATCTGTAAGTGCATATTTATTCACGTAGATATGAAGGATTACTCCTATGTGAAGTTAGTAATAATAGAGTAATAAATGATAAAAAGATGTTAAAATTATCTAACTAAGAGACTTATATAATGTACCTTGTAATGAGTCAATTACATTTAAAAGTGACTTTGTTTTTAACGATTTTCGTGTAAAAGTTACCTTGTTAAACATTTCAGGGAGGTATATTCAGAATAAAAGGTAGTTCTAGCTCATACACATACTTGGGCCAATTGAAAACAACAAGAAATATATGTAACAATTTTAATATGTTGAGTGCAATGAAAAAAACACAGGTATTCAACAAACATATTTATTTTTGTAATGGGAGGGCTTTTGTCCGCCTTGTTAATTTCATGGGAGGGCTTTTGTCCGCCTTGTTATTTTAACGGGAGGGCTTTTGTCCACCCTGTCATTTTGATGGGAGGGCTTTTGTCCGCCCTGTCATTTTCACGGGAGGGCTTTTGTCCGCCTTGTCGTTTTTTGACGGGAGGGCTTTTGTCCGTTTCCCCAGAGACATACATAACTCTATGTCTCTGATCATCATGATCAATATTCAACATTTGTTTCAATATCAGTTCAAAATTTAGAATATCAATTTAAAACCCATTTCTCCCTGTCTTGTTATAAAATTCTTCTTTGAATCTGTAAAAAATTCAACAATGAAAGACATTGGAGTAAAACTGCTACACATTGTGTTTTATAAAATATTTATTGTTCTTGTAAACTTTCTAGTAAATTTTTACCATTGTTTTCCAAGTAATGAAATTATAGTAAAAATTATACTTAGAATTTCTATGAAGTCAGTGTGTATATTTGTATATAATATAATTATACTGCAATATTAAGATAGAAAATTTTGAACTTTAACACTGTTAATAAAAAGCATTGTTACATGTACATGTACAATGTATTAATTATCATTAGTAGAATCAAAATTATAGTTATATTATAATTTTTGTTTAAAGCATGGAGCATACTTCAAAGAAAGAGAAGCTTGTGATGAATCTCTCCACTAACAGTTTAACCAGTAAAACATGTGCTGTGCTAGGCAAGATTATTGCTGCTGATCACACATTTGCTGAATACAAGTTTGCTGACTGTATGCTTAGCGAAGATGGTGAGATTTTAGATTTTTAGTCGTTTGAAAAGGTGCAGGAAATAGAGGATATTGAAAGAATGTAGGTTCATTACTGAATTTATCGCAAAATCAGGCTCGCATATTATAATTTTATTCAACAAGTTCAATAAATTTAGAAATGAACCTATATAAATTTAATATTCTATTTATCACAAATCCAAAATAAGAACTGTTTACATTAAAAAAAGAATCTTTTTTTTTCATTGATGCACTAAGTCTTATAAATAAAAAATAATGCGTAGTAAGCATTCTAATTTTTTTTTGAAATCCATTTAATTCAAATAAAAAATAGCAAGTTCAGTAAAAATAGAAAACAGAATTTGTTATGGCATGAGTCGCAGGAGGGAATCAAATATATTTTTTGGTCAACCTTACTGTTCAAATTTCACAGCATTTTATGCTTACATGTAACATTTATATTCATGTATTGTATGTTAATTTATGTCAACTTGAAATAAGCTAAAAATTGCTTTTAAAACGTAAATCCAAGTTTCAACTATTCATCCTTTCTTTAAAATTGATCATCTTGATCGGTCATTGTAATTTTACTGTTATTCCTAACTTTTGTCCCAATTTTAGTAGGTTTCATTTTAAAATCATTTTTTGTTTTCATTTTGAGTATGTACTGCACTTTAAAGTTTTAATCTAATAAAATTGATTGATTTTTGTTATGATTTTTAATTGGAGCTGGTTTTAAAAGTAATGAATATTATTCATAAAACATTCAACTAAAATGGATATGGAATTACATTTTATATCTAATATTTCTATAGGACATTCTATATTGTTTAATTTTTACCTTTTTGAAGTCAATTATTGTTATTCCATACTAATACTAATTTTTATTCAGTAAAAAATACCTGAATTAATAATAACAACGGTTTTTATTAGTTTTACACATGAACTCAAGATGTTGTCATAATTTTTCTATTTTTATTTACTAACTATATCCATCTTATTCACAATCACATGTAAACTTTCAAATTTGTTTCATTTTTGTTTCTACTTTTAAGTATAAAAATTAACTTGGAAGTCAAAACAATTTTTTTCTATCTTTTTAAACAACTTTATAAAATTATTTTTATACAAAATATCTGTTTAGATTGTATGAAACATATTGTCTAATTATATACAGTACAACTTTACCATCCATCATATTTCTTTATCTCAAAATTTACATTTTCATTGTTTTTGTGTTGAGTTATTAATTTTACTAATTAAGCTACCTGGTGAGACATCATTAATTAATTATTTTTTTTTGTTCAATTAAAAAAAAAAAAAAGAAACATCAAGTAAGATGGTACAAGTGAGATATGTTTTTATGTCCAAAACAAGGATAATAATGTTACTTTCAGTATTAATTAAAAAGAAAGTATTTAATATCACGCCTGAAAGGTGGAATTGAACCACTGTGACGCTAATCACCTACAGGTTTGAAGCCTGCACCCCGGACCACCGAGGGTCATTCAGGCACTTATGAAAGGTTAATCAATCCTTATATAGTAGGCATTTTCTTTTATCATAATTTTATGATATGAAAATTTGAATATGATTTTTTTAAACTTTTATTCATGAATAAGAATTCAAAGATGCAAATATATTATTCGATGCTGCTGTCCTTTGATTTGTGAAACATTTGTCATGATAATTTTTCTGTATAAAATTAGTATATTACTCATTCAGGTGAATATTCATGTGAAATTATAGATTATTTAGAATTCATGCAGGGGAGATAATTATCTAGAACATAGCCTATGTATTTCAGTACAAGTATAATGCTATCATTTAAGCAGATAGAAACCTGGATTTAAAGCTTTTATGATTCATTGTTGTTTATTATGTTTTTTCAGCTGTCAAAGGCTTATGTCATGGGTTTTCAAGGAATACTTATGTCCGTAAACTGGATATGAAGGTTTGAAATATTCCTTTTTATATATTTTTGTTTATCTTTAGCTAATTGAGCCATTTGCAAAGAAGGGACTTATATTGTTCTCACAATGTTTTACCTGAATTATTTATTCTTACAAAGGTCTTGTTACTTTAAAAAGAAAAAAAGATACAAATAGGATATATTTATTTAATGAAAATATTTAAAAATGAAGAAATTATCAGAAAAAACTTGAGTCAATGAATGTTTTTGTCACAAAGATAAAATAATGCTGTCTGCAATTTTTTTTATAGGGAAACAACATCAGAGGGCCTGCAGCAGAGGCTGTAGGAAAACTGTTGAGACATACAAAAAGTTTAGTAAGGTATTGCCGTAAAATGATGTTTTTAGACTATGATAGTTGTGATCAGAAACTGAAAAATCATTTTGATTAACTAACAGTCAGCATATTAAGTTCTGACTTAGTGAAGTTAGTTATTTCAGTTTTGACTAAGATTTTTATTTATATTTCCAGACATTTTTAGCTTGACTATACAAAGTATATGGAGAGCTGTCCTACTTAGCGTCCTCGTCCAGATTTTAGATTAAAGTTTTGGTGCAGTAAAATATTTTTCACTCTAACTTTTTCATTTCTTAAGCTATCAACTTCAAACTTCAAATATATGTTTCTTATCATCAACCACATCTTATGTGACAAGGTTCATAACTCTTGCATCAATATTTTCAGATTTATGTCCCCTTGAACTTAGAATTTTCCTTAAAAAATATTATTTTTTACTGTTTCTTTTTTATTTCTTAAGTGATCAACTTCATACTTCAAATATATGTTCCTTATCATCTACCACATCTTATGTGACAAGGTTCATAACTCTATCACCAATATTTTCAGATTTATCTCCCCTTTAACTTACAATTTTCCTTAAAAAGTGTTATTGTTTTTTTACTGTTACTTGTTTATTTCTTAAGGGATCAACTTAATACTTCAAATATTTGTTCCTTATTATTGACCACATCTTATGTCACAAGGTTCATAACTCTAGCACTAATATTGCAAGAATTATCTCCACGTTAACTTAGTTTTTTTACTTGAAAAATGTTATTTTTTACTATAACTTCTTTAGTTTTAAAGGTAATTCTACCTCAAACTTCAAATACATATTCCACATCATCAACCAGATCTTATGTGACAAGGTTCATAACTCTTGAAGCAATACTTTCAGATTTATCTCCTTTTGAACTTATAATTTTCTTTAAGAAATATTATAACTTCTTTACTTTTTAAGGTATCGTCTTCAAACTTCAAATATATATTTCTTATCATTACACACATGTTGTGTGACAAGCTCCGTAACTCTAGTGTGACTATTTCCAGAGTTATTCCCCCTTGAACTTGGGATTTATGCTAATGACTATATCTATAAATATATTTATATCATAATTGATTTTCCTTTTATAGTTTTGTCTTCCTTACTGTGACCAGTATTAAATTAGTCGAGCTTCGCTGTCTCCTGTGACAGCTCTTGTTAATGTAGTAGATATCTGTCAATATTTAATATATTTTTATAAATGTGCAACATAATTTAATCATAACATGTTTATTGTCTGAGAATTAACAGAATTGAGCAGACCCCCTTGAATACATGTATTTTCCATTTGTTGTTAAGCAGAATACAGTTCATTATGATTGTTTCTACTTAAATAATGCTTTAACTGACATTTATAAATTAGTTTTAAGTGTAACAATTTAAGTTTAATGTGATGTATATTTATAACAATGTTGAGATAAGCAAAATAATAGATTACATGTACCTTTTTGGACATGTTGTGTTTGTTTATTGTGTGATATCTAACTAGTTATGGATATCTTAATACTGTAATACATATATAGATTTGATTTCACTTATAGATTCTTTATGAAATTTAAACATCTTTTTAGTCCGGACTTTAGGTTTACCCTCTGTCCATCCATCTGTCTGTCAGTCCGTCCGTCCACAAAACTGGATCCCGCGATAACGCAAAAAGTACTAAAAATATTTTTATGAAACTTGATATATGGATAGATGGCAGTATGGAGATTATGCACGTGTTTTTCTTTTGTTCCTATGTTGAAAATTCTAGTTGCTATGGCAACAAATAGTCTGAAAATATGGCAAATTAAACACATAAACTGGATCCATTGATAACTCAAAAAGTACTGAAAATATTTTTATGAAACTTGAAATATGGGTAGATGGCAGTCTGGAGATTATGCACATCTTTTTCTTTTCTTCCTATGTTGAAAATTCTGGTTGCTATGGCAACAAATAGCCTGAATTTCAAGATTTCTGATTTAAATTTTTCAGCTTTTTCACTGTAAGTTCTTTATTTCTTAAGGTGTTTACTTCAAACTTTAAATATAAGTTCTGGTCATCAACCACATCATATGTGACAAGGTTTACAACTCTAGCACAAAAATTATCAGAATTACCTCCCTTGAACTTAGAATTTTTATGAAAAAAAAAAAGATGTCTTTTTTAATTAACTTTTTTATTTCCTAATGTATCTACTTCAAACTTCATATATATGTTTCTTATTATCACTCAACATTTTTGAGAAGGTTAAATACTCTAGCAAGACTATTTCCAGAATTATGTCCCCCTTGAACTTAGATTTTTTCCGAGAAATTGGTATTTTTTACTCCAACTTCTTCAATCATTATAGGATACTTTAAAAACCCACATCGTAATAATTTGACAAGGTTGTATAAACATAATTTCCTTACTAGGCAGGGAAACTTAACACATTACTGTGATATAGACAAACTTAGAACTCAAAAGAATTAAGTTTATTCATGTCATTCATTCACTGGTAAAATTGAATGGCCAATGGCCCATCAGAATGTTGCTGGGGTTCTAACCGGTAGGGGACTTGTGGATTGCTTGTTTTCACTGTTTCATAAAGTTTTCTGTTTTTCAATTGTATAAAAACAATCCTCATTTACAGTAATTTTCTATGATATTTTACAGTTTATGTTTGGAATGGAATGCTCTTGGTATGTTGGACAATTCATTCACTATATTTTGTGAGGGTGTGGCAGCAAATAACACTCTACAAGCATTAGATCTCCGCAACAACCAGATCAGTCATGATTCAGCAGCAGAACTATGTAGAGCTCTGAAATCTAACAGTACCATTAAATCATTAGGTAATGATCTTAACTTGTTACAAAATGAATCCTTTGAAAATATTTGAACTTACCGAAAGGATCCTTAAAGTCTATAAAAATGCAAAATGTTCAAGTCAAAAGATATCATATGTATTTATATACTCCCAAAAATTGTTATGCACTAGGTCGTCTATCTGTTAGAAGTTTATTGTCTGGTCTGTATCTTTTGAAATGATGAAAGGAAATTGAAACAACTTGGCAGAAATGTTTACCATAATAAGACGACGAGCAGAGCACAGTTTTTTTTTTACCTCCCTGAGGCCAAGGTTACACTTAAAACATTTTGTAGGGCACTCTGTATCTCTTGAATTGATAGTTTAAAAATTAAAACTTTTAGGCAGAAATATTACTTATAGTGAGACTATGTGCAGAGCATAGATTTGGGCTTTCTGAGATCAAAATAAGCCCTGCCCCGGGGTTTCCTTGAATTATATAGGAAAACACATTTAAGGCATACAGCACAGATGTGCAGGCTGGCCTGGCTTTATACTAATGGCAAAGTCTAATCACGTTTGGTTCCAACTAAGTAAGGGTTAATAATTAATATTAAAATCATTTCCTTTGATTTGGTGATTTTCTCTGCTAGTTCACTTTGGATAATAATCTTTTGATGTTAACTTGTTACAGATTTACGATGGAACAATGTTGGACTGTTGGGAGGAAGAGCTATCATAGAAATGTTACAGACTAATAAAATACTGACACGTATAGAGTTAGCTGGTAACAATATTCCAGCTGACATTCTTAAAGCTATAGGTTTGTATCTTAATAATAGTTTGTTGTTGTTTTTCTTTTGCTCTACTTTATCTTGTTAGATACTTTGTATGTTTATTAAAGTGAACTGAAACAGAATGCAAAACCTATATCAAACTAGGCTAGGGCTGCATCCAATATAGGTTTGAAAGCTGTGTACTGGTCCAGTAGAATTCAGTATTGTACTCAAAATTTTATGATAACATCATACTATGGGACATAACAACAAACCACAACAAGAATTACATCTAGATATTGTTTGGCAAGTGTGAGATACATGATCAGATATTACATATATTTATATTGCAGATAATTAAATGTTCTAGAACAAAATATTATTCATCATATAATTATTCATACTAAATCACTTAGAACTTTATCAACATTGTTTTTTCAATTAAAATTTTATGATAATATCCAAATGATACATTTTCTATTGCTTTTATTCAATATTTGAAATACGTATAGAAAATGTGCCCATTGTAAACCAATCCACTTTAATAAGTCCAATAGTATTATGGTTATAAGCTTGAATGGTATAGGTAGACATTGAGAATACAATTAAATGATAAAAATGCAAGACTTTATCTCACATTTTCAGAAACAGCATTAAGCCAGAATCAGGACAGGGCACTTATAACAGAAGACCATCAAAAGAGAACTTCAGTGCTTACAAAACACTTGCAACATTTAGAGAAAGAAAAATTTACACAGGTTTGGTTTAAACATATTTATTTAAGCTTGATTGGGAAACAAATTCTTACATCTTATATTAATCTATTTCGAGTCCGCTTCCTAGAACCAACCATTACTGGTGTCATATGAAGAATCATGGTTGTGACATGATAAGGGCTTGGACCCATAATCCCTGGGTTAAGAGTCAGACACCTTAACCACTAGGCTACCACTCTTCTAACACAGGTTTGTTTTCTGATAGAAATAATTCAAATTATACACAACATTGCTATCATATCAAGATGTCAATTATCTCAAAGAATTTTTTTCCCAATGTCATCATGCCATGTACACATAATTTTGACATGATTGTATACTTTATATAAGTTTCAATAAATAGTGACCTTCAACCATAATCAAATGCATGAGCATTAATTGGGATGTGATAACTGATTTACCACCTGGTAATAATGCACAGTTATAATGTACTTTTACTTGAAATATTTTTTCATTACTTTTTGAAAGTTTTTTTTTTTTTATCAAAGGATCAACACATAAGTTTACCATTTGACATCATGTTTTTAAAATTTCTTCTAAGTTACATTGTATTTATACATTCTATGTATACTGAATACATGTTTATAGAGTAAAAATATACTTTTTAATTCTCAGATGGATGAATTGATGGGAACTATAGACAAACAAGAAGAACTGTTACGTGATTCAAAAAGGTAAGTTTATTCTTTAAGATGTTTTTAAAACTTTGCTTCTTTCTGGTTTTTACCTATTCTAATGGGCGTCCGTGGCCCAGTGGTTAAGGTCATTGACTTCAAACCACTTGCCCCTCCCCGCTGTGGGTTCGAATCCCGACAGGGACTTTGGATTCTTTCATGTGAGGAAGCTATCCAGCTAGCTTACGGAACGTCGGTGGTTCTACTCAGGTGCCCGTTGGTGCCTGAAATAATGCACAGCGGGGCACTTGAGGTCTTCCTCCACCAGTAAAACTGGAATGTCACGATATGACCTAAACTGTGTCGATGTGACGTAAAACCCAAAACAAACAAACAAAACCTATTCTAATATGTCATAATTATACATTGTGACTTTTTTAATTTGTATTTTATTTTACCAAGTTGATAACACATTAAAAGGCTATCTATGTGTACTACTGTCTTCTCACATTACATAGTTTAACCATTACCACACTGAATATCTTAAATGGACTTATCCATCATTCTATCTGGACAAAAAACAATCATGTTTAGAGAAAAAATTTAAAAAAAAGAAATGAGCCGTGCCATGACAAAACCAACATAGTGCGTTTGCGACCAGCATGGATCCAGACCAGCCTGCGCATCCGCGCAGTCTGATCAGGATCCATGCTGTTCGCTATCAGTTTCTCTACTTGTTACTTGCGCGAATGTGCAGGCTGCTCTGGATGCATGCTGGTTGCAAACCCATTATGTTGGTTTTGTCATGGCATGGCTCAAATGTCTTAATAGTGAACAGTGCAGACTATGATCTTGGTGTGCATTGATCACATTGATAAATACAGTTGCTGCTATAATTGTATAATGTCTTGCTTTGAATTTAGATTTGTTCAAGTTAATTGTGAGGCATTTGATATTAAGACAATATACATGAATCATCATAATAAGCAGCCAACACTGTGAACAGTATAGACTGTATCAATATGTACGCTGGCTTTGTTCTAATACACAAAATGTACATTAGTTGCATTTCTTTAACAAGCAAATATTAAAATCTGTAAAGTTATCTGTCTCTCTTTATAGGTCAGCAAATTCCAAGATTGGTCAGTTACAAGTTGCATTAGGAGAAAGAAAGGCAGCATTCAACTCTCTAGCTTCCAAGTAAGATTCATTTGTTTATATCGAAACACCTTTGGACAATTCCTATTAAACAAAGAATTACTGAAATGCATTTCCTGTTCTTATTTCCTCCCCTGTACAAAATGTATTTATGCCCTGTATATTTACTATGTTACAGATTAAATGTTAGTAAATTCATCAATCACAGTTATGGCCTTAATGATTATATTTTTGAGCATATGGACTGGGTAATTTTATACCATTACACACTAAAAATGAGAATCTATTTCCTAATCAACGCTCTGATATAAGAATACCATGAATTTTAATTTTTAGTGGTGAGGGGGAGGGGAGTGGGAATCTTGTACATATACAGTCTAAATTTATAGTAAATAACATGGAATTAACCATTATTATTTGAGCCGTGTCATTACAAAACCAACATTGTGCGTTCGGGACCAGCATGGATCCAGACCAGCCTGCGCATCCGCGGATGCGCAGGCTGGTCTGGATCCATGCTGGTCACAAACACATTATGTTGGTTTTGTTGTGACATGGCTCATTTATTATAAATACACTTTCAGACTTGCCATGACAGAGTCAGAACTTGCACTAGCAGAACAGAAATGTAACGACTATACTGTGATAATTAATAGACTAAAACATGAACTCTCTGAATCTTCCACAGTACATCAGAGTGATATACGCAGGGAACGGGAGGTAATAATATATTTTTTGAATGTTGAATTTTGAGATTGTTGTCTCCTTAAATACAACTGTTATTGATAAATCGAGACCTTTTCCCCCTTTATTTAGTAATACTTTGTATCATATGTATCTCTTGCTGTCATTCCTACCTTATGATAAACATAACAAATGAAATGTATTTCTAGGAGTGTTGAAATATATTTCCAGATTGAACAGCATACTTTTTTAATGAAGTTTATTTAATTGTCATTTTAAGCTTTGTGATTATAATAATAATATTGTTTTAACAGGACAGAGCAAATACAGAAATGAAATTACTGAAGGAGCTATCTGAAGCTAATGAAAGAAACATTGGTTTTGAAACAAAGGTGAAGTTGATTTATTTCTTAAATTCTAATTTTTACATTCTTGTTAAGTATCATGTAATATTTTTGCTTCGTGTAGAATGATATACCGTATTGTTTCCATTTATTGCCCCCGGGGCGTTGCAAAAACGGAAACGGGGGGCGTTAATTAGAAGCACATTTGCATAAAATGAAAATTAATTTTTATGTTTAAAAATATCTTAAAATCTCCAACTATTTTCGTCCTATAAACCCCTTGTTCACGTACGATAAATAAGCAGCACAAAATTATTGCAGACAAAACGGTAGTCCGCTGACCGAGATAAACTTTGTCAAGTATTGATTTTTCCTGCTTTGGCGGGAAATTATGACGTAACACTATCAGTTTACCTGTGTTGTAAAGGTTTAATCAATAAACAATGGAAGGTTGCACTTCTAAGAAAACGTACACGAATGTATTCAAACTGAAAGTTGAATGTTACTTGGAAATTACAACAGTTAGTTTTTTTTCTGTTTATTTTTTAAATACACTTCGGATATTAAAATTTTCAAGTCAGGTAAGAATTTTTTTTCATTTTTCACCCAGGGGGCGGCGCTAATTAGAAGGGGGCTATAAATAGAAACAATACGGTATATTTGTCTTGTCTGCTTAACCTTATTAATGTTTGTGAAGCGTGAGATTGATTTCTTGCAACCAGAAAGCAGTTTTAAAACTCATAGTCACAGTTAAAATAAACATAGTAAAACTAATGTAGCATTTCTTTTTGCTATAATAAGAGAGAGACCTTACAGCTGAGTGGTAAAAGTTTCATATTTTGAATCACTTGACTGTTATCAACATTGAATTGAATCTTATCTTGAATTTTAAATTCTTTTATGTGGGAAAGTTACACTTAGAACTAGCTGGATGTCAGTGATTCTACCCATTTGCACTGCATGATAAGCATAGATGACAGGCATCTAGTCTTCATCCACCATGGAAGAAAAAGTATAGAAAAAGGTTGATCCCTCAGAAGCTTTAAGTTTTTATGACAAGAAAATTACAGGAATATTGCAGACTCAGTTTTATTGAATCTGTATATGAAGGATAATAAACAAGTGTAACATCCCTTATGCCCCATAGCACCAGCTACTCATTTTACTCTAGATGTGTCTTTATAGGGTAAAATTCAACCAAAAGAAAAACAATTGAAAAAACAGTTATTTGTGTCAATAGAAAATATTTAAAACAGGTCAGGTTTAACTAATTAAAGCAGGCATTTAAAATAGTAACAATCTATCAAAAATTCATCATTTACAGGTTGAAGATTTAGAGAGGAAATGTCGTCAACAAACAGAACAGATTTTTGGTTTTAAGGAACAGATAACATCTCTTCAAGCTGAAATAAAAATGAAAGGCTCACAATATGAAGGTATGGATTAGTAATCCTAAGTAATCCTCAATTTAAGCTATACTATTCGAAGAATACTGAGAGCTAATGTACCCTGGTGTCGACTTTGGCATCACACTTTGGTTAAACTTTTGCATTCAAATTGGTATTCTAAAACTACTGAAGAGTATTGGTTGAAACTTAACGCACTTGTTCCCTGTGATTTTGTTACATTATGGGCACAGGTTCCATAACTCTTGAGTCAACTTTTTACAGTGTTATGCCCCTTTTCGAACTATCAGGCACTGAGAATAGTCAAGTACACTGTGCTGTACAGCTATTGTAATACAAAGTGTCTTGGCCAATAATTTTAGTGTTGCAGTTGATTAAATCTTTCAAAATGGACCTTTTAATGATTCTGTGATTTTATAAACAAACATGACTGGGCAGGATGATTAAACTAATGGCTAAAAGATTGACAATTGCTAGAGGGTTTGGTGACCTTCATAATATTTTAGAACTCTAGGCTTGTAAATTTAGCAGTTGATACTTCACATATAGTATTTAACATTTTCAGAGAGGTTACAGAGTGAAAGAAGTAGAAATAAAGATTCCTTACATGAAGCAGAACAAATAAGACAGAAAGAGGTAATCATTTAAAATGTTTTATTAAGCATACAGTAATCTCCAATTATGAAGAATATTACGATTTAATATATACTTATAAATGAAATATTAAGAAATATTGATGAAATAAAATGTGTATTTTCATTCTCCATACTTTCACTGTAAAAAAATATTTTTCACCACAGTGAAACATATTTTCAGTATTTTCACTGGTGCCTAGCCGGAGTACTTTCTGCTTAATTCAGCCAAAACACAAACTTTAGGGAAAGTCTTTCAAATTGTAATGTCATAAAAAAGAAAAATGTATATAATTAACAGAAAATTCAAGTTTTTTCTATAAATACAGTTTTTTTTTTCATCTTGTGGTATGAAAATTATCATATTTCATACCACTCAATAAAGATAAATCTTGTATTTATAGAAAAAAACTTGAATTTCCACTATATACCGCTTATAATGATGCTGTTGCCATGGTTCCAACTCGTGTTTTCAAATTGGTTGCCTAATGGTTAACAATATAGATTTGGCTGTCCCCTGAATATCAGCAGAGTGAACTGTACTTTGTAACCATTAAAATTTATATGTATTATCTTTTTTTTTAAACTTAAACTCCATACTGATTTTATGTGATGTTATTGTTGTGTACTGTTTTGACTTATTGTAACAACTCTGGTATGACTTAGTATGGGACATAACAAATGACCTGCCACTCGGTATATATTATATATCAGCATTAGTATATTAAGCTAACATACAGACATAATACACATGATTATATTATAGATACAGAGGATTAAACATGAATCAGAGGAGACAGAGAAAACACTAAGGGAGAGAATCCAGCGTCTAGAGATGAACCGGTTACAACTAGAGGAAGAAATGAGTCAGTTAAAGACAGCCAACATGACTGATAAATTACAGGCCGAGGAAAATATCAATATTGCTAAACAAAAAGTCAAATATGAAGAGGTATGTATTTTTGTCAAATTATTTGATCATACATATATTGATATTAGATATTTAATAGAGAGATAAAATTCTTTCTTGATCTTGACTAAAGATGTGATTTTCTTTGTAAAAAAAAAAGGTTTGTCTTTTTGTATTTCAATTTGAAATATATGAAAACTACTAACATACCACTTGATCATAATGACAAAAATGTTGACATTGGTAATGATGTATAGAAATGTTTTGTTGTGTTTTAATTTCAAATAGTATTCAATTTGAAAATGTACAAAAAAAATTGTACTTAGAAAAGTTTGACAGTTTTAAAATTGCAATTATATGATAACCATTTTTGAAAGGAAAAATATGTTTTATCATATTAAATGAAGGACTTAGAAAATGGTTTCCGTTTAATATCAGGAAGCAAGAATGAAACAATTAGAAGAGAAGTTACGAGTTGCACATATCTCAAAAGACGAGCTTCAGAGTCATCATAACCAGCAACAAACATTAATATCAGAACTAACATCGAAAAATAGCTCTCTAACACTGGAGGTAGAAAGTTACAAGAGGAGAATTGAAGAGCTTAATGAAGTATGTACATTTTTCCATTCTTTTGTAGGTGTATAGACTTTCGTCTTTTGACATTGTCAGTACATCAGAAATGCACCTCGAGTTGTAACATTGATAATTTTGCACAAATATTGAATGAATCAATTTTATTTGTTTCAATTAATAAATACCCATAACTTTTTGATGAACCTAATGGATATAAAATTAAAGAACATATCTTAATTAACTCAAGTTACTTTACATAAAAAGGAGGTGAATATTTGTAAATTAACACATGACATGGTTCTATTTAATATTTCTACATACAGTACAATATTAATTTATGTATTTATAAAAGTTATAATTATCATGAGATGAAAAATAAAAACAATCTTTTAACTTATACATGGTCCATATGTATAGAATGATTGATTCCAGTGAACATTATTCTATATAATTAATTCTTAGAACATAATTTATTTTGAATGAAAAACATTAAAGTTAATTTCATATGGAAAAGGAACATTTGTAAATATATTTGTCCTTATTTCAAACATTATTATGTTTAACATACATTGACCTTAAAGTTATATTACTTTGATAAATATGCAAAAGTTGTTTCACACTACTGCTAAAAAATAACATGATATCAACATGTTTATTGTAGGAGGTGAATAACAAGAATGTATATACTATGCAAGAAGTTGGAAAGGTTAAAATAGAAATGCAAGGTACAGCCACCAAACTGGAGAATGAAAGATCCATCCAGAAAGAACTGAGAGAAAAATTGGCAGAGGCTGACACAAAATTATCAGGTAGGTTTTTTTCTTCTTTGTTTAAAGATTGTATTTTCTTCAACAAAAAACAAACTCTTTCAAAGATATCATAAACAAGGTATTATGTTTATTATTTTGTGAAGCCTGCACATTAATGAAATTCTGTTCTGAATACAGTTACATGTGTACTGAATCTACTGCGGCCAATTGCAGGCCTTTTTACCAGTTTAAGAGACAGTATTTTAAGATAACAAGAGAGAAATCCAAATTCAAAATTGAGCAAACTTTTAATGTTATATTGCAGATAAATTGATATTTATTAAAGCATTTTAAAGCCATTCAATTAAATACAGAGTGAGAGTAGACAGTTCTGCATTTTGAGTTCAATATTTATATGTGATTATGGTTTTGAAAGTACCTGCATATTATTTGCAAAAAGTCTTTATTAAACTGAATAAGGAAGAGGAAAAAGGGAATTGACAATGTGAATTATTTCACTTCATATAAAATGTATCCAATATAACTTCCAGCATTTGCATTATGCAGTCTGCCAGTGCAAATCATTATTGTCTCCTTTTTTAGCTCGACTATTCGAAGAATATGAGAGCTATTGTAGTCGCCCCGGTGTCGGCGTCAGCGTCCGCGTCGGCGTCTGCGTTGGTTAAAGTTTTTTGTAAAGTCAAATATCTCAATTATTACTTGAGATATTCAATTGAAACTTACAATACTTTTTATAGTAAAAGGTACATCAGATTGACAAGTTGGATAACTCTGCCTACAATATTGACAGAAATTATGCCCCTTTTAATTTTAGAAATTTTTGGTTAAAGTTTTTTGTAAAGTCAAATATCTCAATTATTGCTTGAGATATTCAATTGAAACTTAACAATACTTATTTATAGTAACAAGGTACATCAAGATTGACAAGTTGGATAACTCTGCCTACAATATTGACAGAATTATGCCCCTTTTTAACTTAGAAATTTTGGTAAAGTTTTTGTAAAGTCAAATATCTCAATTATTGCTTGAGATATTCAATTGAAACTTACAATACTTATTTATAGTAACAAGGTACATCAGATTGACAAGTTGGATAACTCTGCCTACAATTTTGACAAAATTATGCCCCTTTGGAACTTAGAATTTTGGTTAAAAGTTTTTTTGTAAAGTCAAATATCTCAAATTTTATTGTTGAGATATTCAATTGAAATTTTAAAATACTTTTTTATAGTAACAATGTACATCAGTTGCAAAATTGCATAACTCTGCCTGCAATATTTGCAGAATTATTTTGCCCCTTTGAAACTTAGAAATTTGGTTAAAAGGTTAAAGGTTTTCAAAGATATTTACTTGAAACTTTACACATGCACTTAGGGTCATAATTGGAAGGTCATAATTGTAAATGTCACTGACCAAGTTCCATAACTCTATCTTGCATTAAGGCTGATTCATATCCCCTTTTCTAAACTTAGTCTCTTGGTTAATGTTTTTACATGCAAGTTTTACATATCTCAATAACTATTAAACATATTTTATTTAAAACTTACATATGATTTATGGTCGTAATTGTAGGTCACTGACAAAGATCCATAATCTATCTTGCATTTAGGCGGATTTTTTTTTCCTTTTTTTCAACTTAGAAATTCATGGTAAAATTTTGCTTGTAAGCTGTTAAATCAACAACTACTAAAGGGTTGTGCTTTTTTTTAGACAATTTTATGCATTCATGATAATAAAAGCAAGTGATTTACTTGAGTAAAACATTCTAATAACAAGCCTTTGTACCTTTTCTGTCAAATTTATATATTCATAGGTAATTAATATTATTATACTCAATAAAACACCCTTGTGACATTTCCTTCTGAATAGTCAAGCCAATACTGTATAATTAGACTCTCTCTAAGGCCTTTAACATGAATTTATAAAAAAAAATTAGCCCGTTTGTGAACTTAAAAAATTTAACATTATCAAGGCTCTTTTACTATCAAGCACTTAGAATAGTCGAGCGTGCTGTCCTACTGACAGCTCTTGTTAGCTCACCTGTCACAAAGTGACAGGATGAGCTTTTGTGATCGCTTTTCGTCCGGCGTCCGGCTGGCGTCCGTCCGGCAACCGTCCGTAAACTTTTACTTTAAATGACATCTCCTCATTAACCACTAAGCCAATTTCATCCAAACTTCACAGGAATGTTCCTTTGGTTCAATTGTTCAAAGAATTTAATTCCATGCAGAACTCTGGTTGCCATGGCAACCAAAAGAAAAAACTTTAAATATCTTCTTTTAAAAAACCATAAGAGCTAGAGCTTAGATATTTGGCATGAAACATCTTCTAGTGAGTGTTTACCAAGTTTGTTCAAATAAAAGCCCTCGGGTCAAAATTGGCCCCGCCACGGGGGGTCATTGATTTTCCCTATATGCATATAGTAAAAACTTAAAAAATCTTCTTTTAAAGAACCCAATGAGCTAGAGCTAAGATATTTGGCATAAAATATGTTCTAATGGGTGTCCTAACCAAGTTTGTTCAAATAAAAGCCCTGGGGTCAAAATTGGCCCCGCCCCCGGGGGGTCATTGATTTTCCCTATATGCATATAGTAAAAACTTAAAAATCTTCTTTTAAAGAACTCAAAGAGCTATGGCTAAGATATTGAGCATCAAACATGTTCTAATAGGTGCCTACCAAGTTTTGTTCAAATAAAAAGCCCTGGGGCCAAAATTGGCCCCGCCCCAGGGGGTCATTGATTTTCCCTATATGCATATAGTAAAAACTAAAAAATCTTCTTTAAAAAACCAAAAGAGTTAGAGCTAAGATATTTAGCATGAAACATGTTCTAATAAGTGTCTACCAAGTTTGTTCAAATAAAAGCCCTGGGGTCAAAATTGGCCCCGCCCCGGGGGTCATTGATTTTCCCTATATGCATATAGTAAAAACTTAAAAAATCTTCTTTTAAAGAACTCAAAGAGCTATGGCTAAGATATTTAGCATCAAAACATGTTTCTAAATAGGTGTCTACCAAGTTTTGTGTTCAAAATAAAAGCCCTGGGGTCAAAATTGGCACTGCCCCGGGGGTCATTGATTTTTCCTTATATGTGTATAGCAAAAAAAAAAATCTTCTTTGAAAAAACCCAAATAGCTAGAGTTTAAGATATTAAGCATGAAACATCTTTTAGTGAGTGTCTACAAAGTTTGTTCAAATAAAAGCCCTGGGGTCAAAATTGGCACTGCCCCGGGGGTCATTGATTTTCCTTATATGTGTATAGCAAAAACTTAAAAATCTTCTTTGAAAAAACCCAAATAGCTAGAGTTAAGATATTAAGCATGAAACATCTTTTAGTGAGTGTCTACAAAGTTTGTTCAAATAAAAGCCCTGGGGTCAAAATTGGCACTGCCCCGGGGGTCATTGATTTTTCCTTATATGTGTATAGCAAAAACTTAAAAATCTTCTTTGAAAAAACCCAAATAGCTAGAGTTAAGATATTAAGCATGAAACATCTTTTAGTGAGTGTCTACAAAGTTTGTTCAAATAAAAGACCTGGGGTCAAAATTGGCCCCGCCCCGGGGGTCATTGATTTTCTTTATATGTGTATAGCAAAAACTTAAAATCTTCTTTGAAAAAACCCAAATAGCTAGATTTTAGATATTAAGCATGAAACATCTTCTAGTAAGTGTCTACAAAGTTTGTTCAAATAAAAGCCCTGGCCCGGCCCCAGGGGTGTCATTGTTTTTAACTATATGTGTATAGTAAAAACTTAAAAAAAATCTTCTTTTAAAAAGCCCAATGAGCTAGAGCTTAGATGTTTAGATTGAAACATCTTCTTATGGGTGTCTACCAAGTTTGTGCAAATAAAAGCCCTTGGGTTAAATTGGCCCTGCAACGTTGGGTGGGGGTTGGGGGGGCCTATATACAGGTGAGCGACCTCAGGGCCATCATTGCCCTCTTGTTTATCAATTTAGCCTCGTTTGCTTTAGCATAGTCCAAAAAAGTAATTTCATTTTACTATCAAACTCCATCTAGACTTGTTTCATTCTCAGATCCAAAACAGTCTATATTACATCACTATTGTACTCCATCTAGCCACATTTCCATTTTCAAAGTCCATGTCTATTTCTTATTGTACTGGAAGAAACAACATTCGGTCAAATTGTCGAACTTGTGAAATAAAGAGGTAATTGTACATATATGTACATTGTTGAGTATAATACTGATTTTATTGGACTTGTAAACAGCTGCAAAATCTAGATTAGACTTGACTAGCAGCTAGCCCAATAAAGTTTTGAAAGCTGTATACTTGTCTAATTAGATTCAATATTGTACCCAACAATGTATAATAACCTTGTATTACTTAAAACGCTTGAAGTGTTAATTCTGCTCATGTCTATATCATATTTTGCAGAACAAATGATGAAGCATCGAGAGACAATAGACAGCAAAGAACGTGAAATCATGCTATTACAAGAAAAGTTACGTGCACGAGATGCCGAACTATCACGTGTACGAGAAGACGAGATGCAGAGAGCACAAATATTACAATCTGCGGTGATGAACTATGTTAGCAAAGTGCCGTCAAGTCCTAGATAACAAGTAGAATAAATTGTGGATTATTAATCTGCAGCCAATTATTTTTTCTAAAAAATTTTTTTAAATATTTGTGCATAATTTAGTTGCAGGAATTTGTGAGGTGTACAAAACTACAGAATATCAATGAGTATAGTGTAATGAAAGATAAATTCACAAAGATGAAAATTGGTCACAAGTTCTTACAAAATCTAGACTCGATATTTGTTTCAGCAATATTCATAACAAACCATATACATGTATAAGTGTAAATTCTTAAGCAATCCTTTTGGGAAGAAAGAAAATTCTGTTGTTTTTTCTTGTTACTTGATGGATCTTTGTTGGTCATTGAATCCAAACAGGGTTACCTATCCAAGTGATTAACAAAATAAAATCTACAGTTATTTGCAAAACTTTAAGGCAGCAGTTAAGTTTATGATTAATATTTATGTTTATTATGTATTCACTGTCCCTAGATGTTATGATAACTACACACAAATTTATATGTTGTCTGTCTCATTAGTCAAATCTGTTATAATATACCAGTGTGAGAATTATTTAGATTTTATTGTCAAGACATTGGATTTTATTTTTAAATGTGAAAGAATATAAATGTCTGATGAGATTACTAAAGTTATGATGTCATATTGAAGCATCTTGTGATGTCACATTGTGACTTAAATGTATCTCAATGTGATATACATGTATTTATTTTAGAATTATTAATTTAGAATACTGGCCTATTTTTGAAAGGTTATAAAGACATGTTAGGCTGTTTGTAATATTTGAGTTTATCTTGGTAACAACTATACTAAAGTAATGATGTTTGTTATATTCTGTTACAGCATGCAGTGCATACATGGGAATCATCCATAAACTTACAAAAAAATAGCGGTCTAATGTTTAGTTAGGTAATGTTGAAAGCTATTTTTGTACAAATGTATGCATTAAATACAAATTGTTTTCACTAAAATGCCCACTTTACAACCAGTGTAATTCTTTGTACAATTTGTGTTAGAAGTGATAAAATCCTTTTCATTTTAGGTCAGTTTACAAGAAAAAGAAAAAAAATATTAAAATTATTAATAAAAAAAAAAACAGAGTAAGGGAATGATCTGAAATTTTGCACACAAGTAATTGGTATATGTCTATATCAAATTGTATAAAAAATCTCGAAAAAAAATATTTCCAGTCCCATCAGGTCAGAAAACTCCCTATAACATTGACAAGGGATTTTAATATTATACAGATTTGACATTATTTATTGATTTATTTTTATATTATCTGTGATATAAGAAGCATTGATTTACATGTATCGTCCAATTTATTTTGTGCTAGTTATTGTTTTGTTGTATATTTTTGTAATTTAAAGTCCAACTTTATATAAAATATTCATTAGACAGCATTGTTTACATGTACAGAATATATTTGTATTAAAATGTGAAATCTATTACATTTCTTGTCTTATTTTATAACAGAATATTAAAATTTGAAAGAATCAAACATTTTATTCAACAAAGCCAAAAAGTAAAATGTATATGACAGTTATGTTGTCTTCAGGGAATCCGATTTTGCTGAAAGAATTTGTGTCATATGCTGTCTACTTTAAATCAAAACTATTGCCCACAAAACTACAAATCTAAAGTATGCTATGACTTCTATAAACAGAATGATGAACCATGTGTTTATGCTAAATTCTAAAGCATTTTAATCATATCTTTCGAATCTATGTTAATTTAAGAAAGTTAATTTTGGTAAACTTCCTGAAAATTAATGTTGAAATAATAATGTGATTCAATACAGGTATTCTGATTATGAAAGGTTAATGCATCATTACCCAAGCAAAAGACAATTGTACATGTTTCCTTTTATAAAGACCATTATAATACATAAAAGACCTTTGATGTACTTTAGCATGCTAACAAACCAGTGTCACTAGTACTAGCCCGATCTGTACAAGTAGAAACAAGTACAAACTTCAACATTTATCATCAAATATGTAGCAGGGGAAGGTGTACAAGAAGAGAACATAATCTTTAAAGATCAAAAATCAATTAGTTGCCACCTCGTCATATTGACCAGAAAGCAGAGATCGTGATTTATATATTGACTTTATTACATGAATGAATAGTATAAACAGTTTCAAGATAAAATTATAATACATTGCATATTTGTGAATGAAAAGCCAGTCCAGTAGAAAAATATCCTCGGTGAAGAACACATTCAGAATGGATCTTATTTGAGTTAAGCTCCTGCTGAGTATTAAATTTCAATACATGTATATAAAACCATGAAACAAGTTGAATTTTGTGCAATTTTATTACAAATATAGAAAATATAAAAGTACAGGTTATCAGATAGCATTTAATAATGATAGACAATAAATATACAAATATTGTTATGACATTGTATGTATAATATGTGAAAATGAACTTACCTTATTTGAATTACTTTGAAATATCAGTTCAAAAAAAAGTTTTATTAAAAATCAAACCTTTACCTATACATTTCTTTTCAGATCCTTTGTTTAGAAAAAAATATGTAAATATATTAAGAACTGAAAATGAACACATTGCTTTCAGAATTGTAGACAAAATGGGATATTTATACATTAATTTCTAATGCATTTTAATTAAGTTAAAGAAGAAAAAAGGTCATGAGGAGACCTGCTCCCAATATTTCAAAGCTTCTTAAATGGAGCTTGTATTTATTCCCCAACAACTTCAGCAAAGGTTGAGGAGTTTTTATAGTTAACAAAAGCGTCTTTCACAATTTTAACTAAACAACAACAGCACCTTTAATAATTAGAATTGTCATGTCAGATTTAGAATTTACAATTCTTCATGGAGATTCAAGTAATTATCAGCTGTAAAACACTGTGGATTTTTCTTATAGCTTCCAGCATCCTCCAATACTCCCCATGGTGCACAGATCCATGGGTCAGAGGTCACATTCTGCCACTGCAGTAGCTTCGTCTTCAAACTCAGGAAAACATTTTTATATCCTGAATCCAAATGGTTCATTAAGTTTTTAGTCTCTTTTGGATCACTTTTGATATCATACAATTCCCAATATTGTCGGTAGTAATATTCCTTCAAGGTTTTGAACCAATGTGTAGGAATACCAGATCTAGTTCTGTTTAACAGATCTTGAAACGAGTCAGAAATAAAGAAATCTTGATCAATTCCAAATGGCATTTTATAGTTGATGTTTTGAATAAGCTTGAATTGTTGATTTCTTATAACTCTCATTGGATAGTACATTGTAACCTCATGAAGATTATGACTTGCAAACACAGTCTCGTATCCAGAATGGGGCTCTGAATTTAAGACTGGTAGTAGTGATTTTCCAGTTGGTTTCACTATTTTTTTGTTCAGCTTGTAACTTGGGTAAGGTATATTAAACCAGTCTAGAATTGTTGGAACAATGTCAACATGGCTCACTAGAATATCACTCACCTGGAAAAAAAAACATTTGTATTTATTGTTATTTATTACAGAAAAGCTAAGATTTTATGAGACTTCACTCAAATGAATTTTAGATTACGAGATATTAAGTACACTCTTTAAACAATATTATGTATTGCCAAAGATCTTATTCTTAAACCTTAAAGAAAATCAGACAATTTTTTTTTTTAAAAGATCAATTTAAACATATTAAATTGTTTGGAAAATATGTCTACAACATAGATACATACATCAAGCAGACATCCAATGTAAACTGGGCAATAAATGTTTTTTCTATTAACTAAAGATTATAAGCCCTCCCCAGAGGGAGACAAATAGAAAGATTGGTGCCTGTATAAAAACCTGAGTCAAATTTAGGATGGGTTCAATCTACAACACTTTTTTTTATTATTGGGTTTAATGTCTCACAAACACAGTAAAGATCATATTGTGACTTTCCAGCTTTACTGGTGGAGGAAGACCTCAAGGTGCCCCTCTGTGCATTATTTCAGGCATGACCAGGCACCTGAGTAGAACCACCAAGTACAACACAAATATAAGGATATATGATATACAGTGATGACATGAGTACAGAGTAATGTAACTTTCATAATAATAAACTTATGTATACCTGTCCATTTCTCTTGGTTTGATAAGGTGAGGACACTAGGAAAGGTTCTCCCATTCCCGAGTCATACAGATTGGTCCGTCCGTTTATAAAAGGTATACCATTATCAGAAGAGTAGAGTATCAAGGTGTCTTTATCATGTCCTGCATTCTTTAATTCCTCAAGGATCAAACCTATTCCTGTAAAATAAGTTTTGGTCATTAAATGATAATTTTGGTAAAAATTTCATATGAACACTTTACATACTTGTATAGCCGGTCAATCTGAATAGTATAGAGAACTAAACATGATAATGTGTTGCCAATAGTAAAGTACTTTGTACAGAAAATGATAAATTATTTCATATTGATCATATCTAATGCCAAATAGAAAATTTATCATATCATATAATTATTATTGCCAAATAGAAACTTCTTAGCTGTATAATTGACGCAGGGAGAGAAAAATGTACAGCCTGAGGACCAGGTTCCTTGTAAACTAAACTATTGAGCTATATATCCACATATGTTGCCAAATGTCACAGGGTTAGGAAAATGTGCAGCATAACTGAGACTCAAACCCGTTATTCTTTAAAATCAACTTTCTGCTATAAAAATCCCCGTTTGTGGCCAAATGTCACTGGGTGGGGAAATGTGAAGCCTGACAGAAATCATATCTAAGAAACCTCAAAACACTGTTCTGCTGCTCTACCCACTATACTGTCCTGAGCTGCTGCTCACACATTTCCTCCCCAATAACTGGCAATCAGTGATGTGATATAATTTTTATAAGATAATTATATAACCTTGATCCAGTCTGCTGATTGTGGTATATTGTTTAGCAAGATCTTGTCTGGCTGCCGGTGTATCTTGAACAAAGTATGGTACCTCCACCTCGTCTGAGTCATATTTTACTGGTTTCCAGTCTGGAATGGTTCCCATCCCTGGTTCTCCATTCCCAAATTTCTCACAGAATGCTCCATACTGTGGGTTAGTATGGCCACATCTATGAGGGTCATGGAAACCGATATACAGGAAAAATGGTCTAAAAATAAAATAAACTTGGTTTAAATCAATTATTGAAGAAAAAAACTGTCAAGGTGATGATTTAAGTTACATCCAGAACCAAATCATTACGATTAATCTATTCAATTAACTGAAAAACAATGAACACTATCTTTTTAAATCTGCACCAGGGTTAAGAAAAAGACTTTCACAATTACAAGGTTGCAATATTTTACTACTACATTTATAAAATACAAGCATATTAACTTTCAGTGTATTTTTTTAAAGATTTTATACATGTACCACAACTTCTTGTAAAGTATACAAAATTTCACTTTTTCTATCAACATTACTTACAATTAAATATGTTACAGATTAACAACAGTTATGTATAAGATTGAAATTCTTACCTAGACAAGTTCAGTGTGAAACTGCTCAGATTTTTCCCATTAAAGATAAATTTATCTTTAATGTGCACATTTAATGTGATTGCAGTATGAAAACAGTATGATTCTGATCAATTGTTTAGTCTGGAAAGACTGATTGACTTAATGATTAATTGATTGATAGATTGATTGACTGATTTATTGATCTTACCTTGAATCGTTATGATGATGAAAGAATTTTCTGACCATATGTTTCATGTAGGTAATATTTCTTCCTACTTGTAGAATAGAATGGTTTTCTTCTGTCTCGGCAAAATCAAATGGATACACATAGCTTGGTCCCACATGTTTCTTACCAACAATGCCTATAATGAATTTATTACAATAAATTTGCAAGTACTTCCACAGCAAAAAGTCTAAAAATAATTGTTAAAAAAAACAACAACAAAAAACATTATCCATCTATCTAATTTAATTATTTTTTATTTCAACAATACACATGCTTCATCACAGAGGAAAGTAATCATTTTGTGGATGCTAGAGAGAAACTGAATAAAGTGTTCCGATGAAAGAATATTTTTTATAGAGATTAAAAAGCTTCCTTTTTGAATACAATTGCACACTGACAAATGGATTTATTTCTATGAGTAGTATATAACATCATTATGTTATTAACATGCACAAGAAATTCATTTAATGGCCCATCAAGCCTTTAAATGCAATTTTTTCATCTCAAAAACTCTTTTATTTTCAGTGTCCTATTACCATTCCTGAAACAAGAGCTGTCACAGGAGACAGCGAAGCTCTACAAATAAAATACTGGACGCAGTAAGGAGGACAAAACTATGAAAGAAAAATCAATTATATATAATTATGTATTAAGTTATAGTAAAAAAATAACATTTGTTAACATAAATTCCAAGATCAAGGGGAATAATTCTAGAAATAGTCATGCTAGAGTTATGGACCTTGCCACACAACATTTGTGTAATGATAAGAAATATATATTTGAAGTTTGAAGTAGATACCTTAAAAAATAAAGAAGTTATTATATTTCTTAGAGAAAATTCTAAGTTCAAAGAGAGATAAATCTGTAAATATTGCTTCAAGAGTTATGAACATTGTCACATAAAATGTAATTGATGATAAGGAATAAGTATTTGAAGTTTAAGGTAGATACCTTTAAAAATAAAAAAGTTAAAATAAAAAATAACATTTTTCTAGTAAATAAATCTAAGTTTATGGGGAGATAATTCTTGCAATATTGGTGCTAGAGTTATGAACCTTGTCACATAAGATGTGGATGATGATAACATAAATATATTTGAAGTATGAAGTTGATCCCTTTAGAAATAAATAAGTTACAGTAAAAAATTATATTTTGTATGGAAAATTCTAAGTTCAAAGGGAGATAAATCTGAAAATATTGGTGCTAGAGTTATGAACCTTGTCACATAAGATGGGGATGATGATAACGTAAATATATTTGAAGTATGAGGTTGATCCCATATACCCCGGTCACATATTCACGGAATACGCCCACGGAAGAGCCACGGATTAATTCCGGCATCGTCCGTAGCTACCCGTACTGGTCAGTAGCTCTCCATATTGTAACCGTAATCAATCGTAGTAGTCCTTGTATATCCGTAGCGATCCTTGACAATTTTTGAACATGCACAAAAATTTGCTACGGAAAAATCAACCGTAGTTATCCCTACTAGTCCGTATTAATCCGTACTGATACGTACTGGTCCGTACAAAAACCGTACTAATCCTTACTGATTCGTAGTCCACCAACTTGTCCAGGATTTCCACGGCTTTGTACGGAGAACTACGTATTTGTACGGTTACCCTACGTATAACCTACGGTTTTAATACGGATTAATACGGCATTGTCACTGAAAGCCACGATCGTAATACGTTGTACTACGGAGAGGCAAGGATTAGCACGGTCTTATGCGGCTTATTGCGTTGCAACACGAAACGGTACGGAATGGTACGGTCCACCACTGTTTAGTACGGATGAATTTAGTATCATGTACTTTTTCAAGGGTATAAATACTACCTTCTTGTTAAAAACAGACATATTTGCGGAAACATTTAATAAATGATAATTGCCATTTACTGTCTGCAACTTTATAATATTGAAATGGCTCAGAATGCGAAAGTAAATTTATATTAATATTGCACTACAATTCATAAGTATTAGAATAACATTTAATGTTACATATTTTACAAACATTGGATCGTGAAATTGGAGTAAATATGTACATAAAACGAAGTGTCTGATAAGCCTCGGAGGCTGGCCCTTAAGTGATAATAAGATTAATTAACAAGCTTTTTACATATTTTTAAAACTTTAACATCACGATAATTAATGTAATTGTAAGATGAACAGCAAATCTTTAAATTAAAAGAGAAGCAGTATTGATCAACATTTTTCATTAATGATTACTAGTCCATATCTAATCAGGTAAGAGAAGACAGACGAGATGGTGGACTAGAGATGGGCTTTTACGAAGACCGCTTCAAGTTTAGTATGAGGCTCTCATGGTCGAACTTGTTGAGGATCCAGCGTCCTTCAAGAAATTCACTTTAATCGTACCTGATGTGACTCGGGGGTCGGACGCGATTAGGCCGAGTCCTCTCCGCCAAAATCATTAAACTCTGCAATTCGTTTTCTAGGTGTTCTTTTCTTTTGAGGCATTTTGAAAATGAGCAAGCAAGAGGTTGTGGACGGATGTATTAGGTCCGTATAGATCCGTGGCAATTCGTTCTTCTCCGTATCAATACGTTCTTCTCCGTACAAGACCGTACTTATTCGTACTAACCCGTGCTTATACCGTAGCAGACCGTAGTGTATCCGTAGTGCGTCCGTCCTGATTCGTGTCGCTCCGTATCAAACCGTGTCGGTCTGTAACAATCCGTGTCTCTCCGGGGACTTTTGGTGGTAAATCCGTCGGACTCCATACTCATACCGTTGTGTGTCCGTACTGGAACCGTAGCGGACTACGAACTTTCACATTTCCGTAGTTATCCGTGAACGATTAGACCGTAGCTCTTCCGTGGCATTATACGTGAATATGTGACCGGGGCATTAAGAAATAAAGAAGAAACAGTAAGCAATAGTATTTTTGAGGAAAATTCTAAGTTCAAGGGGAGATAAATCTGAAAATATTGGTGCTAGAGTTATGAACCTTGTCACATAAGATGGGGATGATGATAAGGTACATATATTTGAAGTATGAGGTTGATCCCTTAAGAAATAAAGAAGTATCAGTAAAAAATAGTATTTTTTAAGGAAAATTCTAAGTTCAAGGGGAGATAAATCTGAAAATATTGGTGCTAGAGTTATGAACCTTGTCACATAAGATGTGGTTGATGAAAAGGAACATATATTTGAAGTTTGAAGTTGATACCTTAAAGAAATGACAAAGTTATAGTGAAAAATATTTTACTGCACCAAAACTTTAATCTAAAATCTGGACGCGGACGCCGACGCCGGGGCGAGTAGGACAGCTCTCCATATACTTTGTATAGTCGAGCTAAAAATTACTCATTGACGGTATTTAGCTTCTTTTGCTTTCTAGATATTAGAACAGATTTAGTGAATAGTGAATAAGTATTTTGTCAAAATTCTGTTTTATTTACATTTTGCTACCTTTATGACATATCATTTCACATTCAGCACTACTCACTTTTCAAAGTAAGCATCTACGAGGGAAATCTAAAAGGAAATTCATTTTTGGAGCCATAATTTGCCTTTAAAAGATTTCAACTAGAATGCAATGACACACCTTATGTATATATGTGTGTTACCTGTGTGTATATTATTATTCTTCAGTATAAGTGGAAGACTTTGAACTTCATCAAAACTCATAAAGTGGTGATAGCCCTGATGTAAGCCATACATGCCATTCTGATGTTGAGGTAAACCAGACATAATCACTGATCTTAAAATAAATAAAACATGTTTAATGTAATATTATCAAGCTTAAAATTACCAGACTGCCCTCTTTAGACCTGAAATTCACAAGGAAACAAAATACTGATTTGATTACATGTAAAATATACAAAGTGCTTTACATGATATTAATCCTTAAATAACATATCATTAACAGCTTTTAGTTGAAATAAATGTCAAGATAGTGTGCTTTGTATCTTAGAAAGTATGGCTTTTACCATTTACCCCTTTAAATCCTGGAACTGACAGTAGTTAAAGCTTTTGCAACCCATTTCAATCTTGATTAAACCCTAAATTGATAGTGGACAGTTCTAAAAATGAAAGCTGAACAAGTCCATTCCAGTGGCTAAAAATACTTGAGCTTTCATGCCACTTACATGAGCCTGGGACATACGATATATCGTATATCCCAGCATGAGCCTAAAACAAATCACATTAAAAATGTCTGTTTTTATGCACGGAATGAACTGAAAGTGTTTGCATTAAAGAAATTTATTAATTAAAATTATTAGCTTCAAAAGATCGGCAAGGGTTATTTTTACCACACCTGCTTGGTGAGCAGCTACTGACTGAAGTGAATGCATTTCTGAAAATGACACTCTTTTCTGCTAGCTTGTTCAAGTTTGGAGTCTTGCAGACAGTGTTGTTGTATACTTTGGTCTCAAATCCTGCATCATCAGCTGAAAATAGAGTGGTTTCTGTGGTTTTTATGCATACAATTTTATCAAAGTTCAGATAAGATAAATTTAAGATATGAAAATGTTAAAATGTGTGTCTATCATTTGTTATCTTGATTGTCTATTAAAACCACAGGGACCCAGCACAGTGTTGGGATAGTGTAAAAAAGTAATTTTTAAAAAAAATATATATTGTATATATAATATCAGGTACGTATATTAACGTAAATCGAGTGGGGACAGGTTGCACGGTTGTCCGACCTAGCAAAAATACGATGTGTCATCCGAAATATCGGTTTGTTGTTCAAAACGGTTTAAGTTGGGACAGTAATGTTATTGTCAACGTCTAGTGATGTCATTTAGCTGCAATACACCGATAAACACTTTCAGAACTAGCAGACGACAGGCTTTTCATATCAGTAGAATTTCGAGTAAAGATAACGGATTGCGTATCTCACTGTATAAATCGTATGTAAAATGGTCTGACATATGGTAGGTTTAACAGTCAATTAATATACTTTGAAGTCCAAAGATGTGTTGAATTTTATACTGTGACGAAGCTAAGATCCAAAGCTTTCTATTGGTGTAATACATTTTAAAATCGGACATTTAATCACAACAAACTAGCGGTTTAAAAACAGGTTATTTTGTATTGTTTCAGCATAAGCGATATTGATTTTACTCGAAGATAAGGGAAGCAACTCGTATTTTGTCACTCGATACACCTCGGTTATTTACGTAGATCATTTGGAAGTGTTTATGGGTGTATTTGATATATAGCTTTATATGATTTACACAAGAATGACTTTGCACTTTTGACTTATACTGGACTAGGGGCGTTCGGCCAATTTGGCGAGTTCAACCCCTTGTCTATATATTATATATAAAGTATTTTTTTTTCTAGAATTACTTTTTTTACACTATCCCAACACTGTGCCGGGTCCCTTTGATTAAAACCAAATTTTGATGTATCAAATTGTATATTTTAATGTGCAACTGCTGGCCAAAATCAATGACAATGATCTTTTTCATGATATGGAATTATGACTTAAGATAAATGGTAACACAACACTATATCACGAAATCAAATAGGACTAACTGTCATTGCTGGTTTTTGATGTCACACCGTTGAAAATAAAACAGTTCTAAGTATTTAGCGGATATTTCACATACCTATCAAAACCAATACATTTTTACAGTCTATATTTGTAAAAATGGTTATCAATACTAAATAAATAAACATTGTAACTTCTGTCAACAATCAAAATTCATAATTTCTTCAAAAACTGACGGGGGGAGTCGACCGGAGTTTATACTGTTTATTTACATCGACACCGGCTAGTCACATGACAGTCATGTGATGTGATAGGCTAGAGACATCAAAAAGTAAACGTTTGTATGCATTTGTTTTTATTTTTCTAACACACGTTAATTTTGTGAATTAAACATACTTTTAGCATGAGTTGTGTAAAGTTATAAAGTACCATGCATATTATGGGAAAAAGATAATATCTTTCAGTTTACTTTCAGTTTTTATCTAATTTTATTTGATTATCTACATGTATCTTAGCCTAATTAATTTGGCGTGAACGGTTTGACCCATTTTACAGACTTTTTTTTCTTACTGTCAAACCGTTACAAGACAGCGCCCGTCCAAAATTATCTCGGTGTCTCTTTGACAAGTCTAATTAGTTGGACTACATGTATCTGTACAGTATACTTTCCATTTCGTTATGTACAATTTCTTTGGCCATGACTGTACAGTATCTAGCTGGTTAAAGGTCAAGTGTACTGTATGGTTACTCGAGTTTGATGAATGAATTTAAAATTAACCCCTTATTTAAAGTTTGTATGTTACAGATAAGGAAAGAAATTAGTCGTAGATCTATTAACCATTTGTCAATGACAATATATGTTGTATGTATAAAATGCACATCCTAAACAGGGATTTACATCATTTTCGACTTCCAGGGGTCCAATGGATGCTGGCTGTGTAATTAAAGTGGTCCAAACACTGATTTAAGGGGTCCAACCACTAATTCAAGCTTTTCAAACACTTGCAGTCAATTCAGGACTATCTATACTCAATTATTTACTGATTATATCTTAAATGTTGCAGACACTTGTATTGCAAGGTTTTATTATGATTTTTAGCAAAATCTGATAAACCAGTATAATATTTTTATGCACCCCCTTAATTGGATGCACAAGTTAAAACAATAAATGGACTTTTTGGAGGTAATTAATGTAGGTAAAATCTGGCTTGAATGGACTCATTTTACCAACTTTTTTTTCTTACTTTGAAAAAGACATTGCCTGTCCAAAATTATCTTGATGTCTCTTTGACAAGTCTAATTAGTTGGACTAGGTAAAATTTTGTGCTCATGAAAAACACTTTACAGCTTAATATATCCTTGTCTCTTGATGTCCCAGAAGAGTCTTTCACTGCATGAGCAGCTTTTGATGAAGCCAACATAGCGATTAACATTATTCATTTACTGTGTTATGTACAGTAATTATTCTACCCTCCTGATTAGAGTAAATTTTTAGTTCAGTGTTTTGATAATTCTTGCACAATTGGGCAAAAAATTACAATCATCCTTAGTACTTTGGAAATCTTGATATCCTACTTCTGAACTCTTACTCCTCTTTGGTCAATTTATCAAATGAATAGATTATACATTTCCTCTTAAAATGTTTATGATTTAAATATGACATCAATATGTCTTACTTTTTGTCCCAAAATAGAAAAAGTTTTATTTTAAATCACTAAGGGGAAATTGACATATCATTCCTCTTTTTTACTCACCACTCTTTACTTTGTTGGTAATGTTCTTAATTCTAGTGATTTTTTTTTCAATTTGTGGCTTTCTGAAGTGGAAAATACAGCACGATAAATCAGAAAAGTGTGATAAACTTCAAATTCCAACAACTGAAAATGGAATTTACGCACATATTTTATAAAATTTTCAATTGCCATTTAATATAACACAGCTTAACCCATTACCACATAAAAAAAAAAAAATTATATATGCTAAACAACGCACTTTCGATCCCCCCCCCTCTTTTAAGCCTCAAATAGTGAAAAAATGTCCTATAAGGGCCCCAAACACATGTTTTCAGTTGAGAATTGTTGCTAAAAAAAGTGAGCATTTTTTCAGCGCCACCCCCCATCCAAATTATACACAAGGGGGTTGCCAGAAGGGGGATGTGCCCCATTCTGTTTGGGGGGTTTGAAGGGGGCGGCAGTCCCCCTCATCGCCAAGAAAATTTTGGACTTGTGAGAGGCTAAAAATGACCCCCCGGTCGATCATAAGGTAACGTGTAACCAACACTGAAAAGCCTTTGACTCTATCTCAATCCCTTGAGAAGTTGCAGCACTTTGAAATAAATTTTGATGGAAAAAATCAAGGCGAAATAGTGATTTTGGCAATTTTGAGATGTTCCCTCGTTGCCATGGTAACAGGAAATTTAAGACTGAGCATGTCGTTACAACGGCGATGGTCCAGTCAACATTTGTACCAAGTTTGATTAGTATTGAAGCATTTTTCATAGTTTCATAGCAGTTTGAACTTGTGACAGGCGGCTTTTCGATGAAAACGGCCATTTTCACAATATGCTTAAGAATGTTAACAAATTGTTAATTTTAGGACCTAAACTAATGCAGCAGTTATTCATCATTAGTGTTTGAAATTATTTTTTGTTCAATAGGATTGCAGTATTTCAAATGAATCGTAACACATTTACTTTGGTAAATCGGCAACTGTGAATCAGTCTAGAAAATTGACTATGAAAATAATTTAAAACACTAAGCTGGTTAAAATTCATTAGTATTTACAAAATTAAATTGGTCACGCAGCTTTATAAACTTTAACCTATACATTGTAAAATATTTTGTATATATTTTTAGGGGAGGTAACTATGAGATGACAATCAGCTAATACTATTTGGGTTATGAAACAAAGAATCTGGTCATTTTTATAGCATTGGTAAGTATAAAAAATATCACCTATAAGAAACTTCAATTCAAATAGTCATCTGTGTATTTTATATTGGAGGGGGGTGGGGAGGGGTGACACAGTGGGCTCATCATAGGAACTGGGGAAAAGCATATGACTAAGATAAAGGGGAATTTTTCTATTACATATATAATGCAGCGTTTTTTGTATTTTATTCTTACTATTTATTTTTATAGAGGCTGATAGGGAAGACTGGGCATGCCCAACTATGTTGCCTCTTTAAAATTATTATATTATTATCATTGATGTTTTACTGCAGAAAATTGATAAATATAATATCACCATGTAATAACAGTTTTATTAAGAATGTTACATTAAAGTTAAAAGCATTTTTGTAAAACTTAGAAATCATTAAAATGAAAAACATGAGGTGAAAATATATGCTCCAGGTGTGGGGATGCCTCCTGATTTCATCATATATTTTGACCAGATAAAAAAAAACAGTAATAATTTTACTGTTCATTGAAACAAGTAATAAAAGCAAATAAATAATAAGCAGTGCTTTCTTTTAACTTTTTCATTTGGAAGTCAGGCAGTTATTTAATCTGTTTTATCAAATACATTCATTTTGTCTGAAAGAAAATAAAATTAACATGTTGTTTAATATGGTAAATATTCCACATCCTTAATCCCTGAAATTCTTAAATAGACTTATCCAGCTTCTGTTGATGGATCTGTCCATTATGAATTTAGGGGATATCAAGAATAAGAATTTGAATTAAGTGAGCCAACAGTATAGAGTATGGTCAGTCTACAATGATGTTATATACAGACTGGCCTGTGGCTCTATACTGATTGAAAATTTTCCAAGTCACTTTCAATTCCAACAGCATCCTCGGATACCCCGATAATGGTCGAACCATTAACAATTATCAGATTACATAATTATTATGTTACGTGTTAATCCATCGTGAGTATCCAACCATGTTCCAGCATGTTTTGTTTGTTTGGGTTTTATGTCACATCGACACAGTATAGGTCATATCACGACGTTCCAGCTTTACTGGTGGAGGAAGACCTCAGGTGCCCTTCCGTGCGTTATTTCAGGCACGAACGGGCACCTGAGTAGAACCACCGCCGTTCCGTAAGCTAGCTGGATAGCATCCTCACATGAAAGAATCCAAAGTCCCTGTCGGGATTTTAACCCACAGATGTGAGGGGCAAGTGGTTTGAAGTCAACAACCTTAACCATTCAGCCACAGACACCCTTTTGAGATAGATTAAAAAATAGGACTGCATGAGGTATGATGTTAATTAAATGCTCTTAAAATGTCCTCACAAATAGAATACATTCAAGTTTAAAGGCCTAAATTTATCATGTTATATTTTGTGATAAAATGGTATGATATTAATTAAAGGCCCTTTGTGACTTTATAAATAGAAATTGTTTAAATAATTCATCTTTGTTTTAATAAAGATGTTTCTTTTGTCATTCTAAAAATGAATTAAAAGAACATGGTAAATCAGGGGAAACAATTTATTACTGACTTTTAATCTAATCTTAGTTTATTTGTCTCCCTTGTTTTTGCATGTTTTAATTTAAAGTTTATAGTAGTGAGTACCATAAAAAATCTTGAATTGTTTCAAAATGAACTAAAAGCAAAATAAAGGAAATTAATAATGCATTTTACATTGTTTTGAATTGATTTTGATTTTATGATTAATATATAAGTAATAATGAAACATACCTGAATAACTTAAGTATTTTGAAACGGCATAATTTTATCTTCAGGCAAGAAATGTAGACAAGTTGACCATGTTTATCAACAAAACTGTTTGTAAACAGGGTCCAAATATCTGCTTTATCAAATTTAATTGTAACTAGGGGGGTAAATTGTTTATGTATTTAGACCCCTCTTCTGCATTTTTTCTCTACTCCATTACTTGAGACAAGGATGGGAAATTTACTCAGAAGGGGGTTATAATATAATCAAGTTATCAGTGCTTGTGATCGGCATTGATGATTGTTCAAGATAACAGTTGGCTTTATCAATATCTTAAATATTTTCGAGACATTGTGAAGTATTCTAATTATTTAATCATTTTGTAACTGTTTACAGAGACTTCTTAACCTGTATCGGATGTATAATGATAATTGATGTATGAGGCTCTGTTGTTATGTTAAGAATTCTAAAACTTTATAAACGAATGGTTTCTATTAGATAGGACAATCAATATTTTACACTGGACATGAAAACTAAAATATTTACTTAATGATGTAATAATGATCAACTTTCTCTATATGAATGTTTCAATATATTCACTGAGCTAAATTACATTTATTACATAAACCACACTACAGAAGTAAAGTGAAGCCATTTAATAAATACTTTAACCTGACATCATTTGTGTCATAATTGTTAGCATTACACTATAGGCATATTAGTGAAAAATTTACCTATTATATTGTATGTATATCTATGATCAACTCATGGATTGTAAATTCAATAAAACTTCAATTCTTCCTTAAATATTTGATAATCTGAATTCTGAATTTAAACTGATGATTTGGAACAACCATCACTGAAAAATAGTAAGATAAAGATGTTTTATATATTGTAGTTTTTACATGTAACTCTTAGCCTTGGCATAAATCTGTGCTGTTTGCTATTCAGTCAGTGCAATTATTGAAAAAGAATCACTTGAAATGGTGAATGGTTTTATCTGAATTATCTGCACAAGTCCCATTTAGATACAAAGCATGGTATTAGCCCCGGTTAACTTGAAAAATTTTCACTATCAGAAAAAATTATAGAATAACTTGAATAAATGTTATAGTTAAGCTCTATGATCCAGTTTACTGTAGTTCTTTTTCTTTAAGACACTTAAAATATGAATATCACAAAATGTTTTTGTATGAATTTAATTCAGTCAAGACATTTAACATTTTACAAAAGATTACAATATTTGTAGATGAACTGGATCCTTCTAAATGCCACATTTTGAAATTTTGCTATACATGTATAATTATATGTACATGTATGTAAAAGAAAACTCCCAAGCTGTTACCTATGTTACATGGTAGAGTATTTGTTTTTTTATGACATGTTTTTGTCAATAAAATGATTTCTTCTTCTCAAGTGTAAATTCAATTTGTATTTACAATTAATGTATCAATGAAAGCTTGATCAGCATGTTTTAAAAGAGTGGCAGCTGCATTATATATTCATTCACCTAAAACCTATGTATTTATTTTGGAAACAACATTAAAACATAAGGTACGTAAGATTTTTTTTCTTTTTTTTTAAAGACATTTTTGCAGCTTATTCTTTTGTTAAATTATTTTTTATCCAACAATTTTGTTCTCAAAGACATTTGGTACATTGGAGTAAGCTATCTAAAAAAACATTCATTTTTAGCTTGAAAAAGGTTTTTTTTGTGATGACTGCTTGTACTTGGCCAAAGATGCCTAAAAGGAAGTTTAACATGGTTACCCTGCAGAGATAAGAAAGAATGAAACGCTGCTGCATATAATAAGTCTTTCCATGTTTTCCATTGAAGCTTTGGTTAAGTTCATTTGAGTTTTAATGCCTAGCAATTGTCAGAAATGGTAATGAGAAATATGGATGCCACTTGTGTGAAACCAAGCCAGTCTGTACTCCTATTCAGTCTGTACAGTGTTGGCTGCTCAAATTTTATTATTGTGACATTTACTTTCATCACAATGATGACCATTTTATTTATAAGACTATGAGTGAATTGCAAATCGGAAACAAGACTTTATTGTTTACCCATATTCAGCAGGGTGATATTATAAAGTTTGAGCATACTACCTATGACATCACTGTTTATATTTGTTTTCATAACTGGAACAAATTGAGTTAATATTATTATAACTCTTTACGTCAAAGTAACATGATAATTAAGTATATATCAGACTCCATTTTAATGTAAACTATGTGAGTTATCACTATAAATTGTTTACATACCATTAATATTTAAACCTTCGACAACTTTCATGAAATGATACAGAGATTATTCATGACGTTGAAGAATTTATCATGACTATATTACATAAATGTAAATAAATCGTATGTCTCTTTATTGCATGGTATTATTATAACCTGGTCTATCCAATGAACAAGGTCATGTGGTATACAGACTCAAGGTGATGCTTCAGTAGTCATTGCAAAGCATATCAACTATATATCGATATTGGATGACAAATATCAACGATACACCGATATATCGTGATTACCTATAATTACTTCTTTGTCGTTTACTTTCATACCTGTTAAAAACATGCTCTTTTCAGTGTCTTGTTTATAAAAGCCCATTGCATGACTTTTTCCAGACCATTCTATTTTTGTCATGATTCAGATTGCTGTGAATTATTTCCACTATATAACAACAGCATAATGTTAGATAATTATGGACACCTGCTTCTGTGTATGTTTTGGGTGAAATTTTCATAATTTCTAGACATTTAATTAATTAGTCAAAATTATTGATTTTTTGAAATGTGTATCTATTATTGATTGACAGAAAGATATCAATGATACATCGATATTGTTTCTATCGATGACAGCTCTATGCTTTAGTAGGAGTAGTAGTGGTAGTAGGTTATTTTATTGCTAATTAAGTAAAAAATATGAACTTGTGATTAATAGTACATTTAAAGTGACATTATGCCCATATAAGGGTATATAGTGAGTGAACAGGTAAAAGTCAGAACATTTGTCAGAATTCCTTTCAATTTTATAATTTACTTCGCATGAACAATAAATTACACATGTGGCCCAAAGAAATTTATCTAAATATCTATCAGAATGTACCAGAAACAGTCAATTTATAAAAAGAGTGGGGCAGTCTTTTTATATTTAAGGCAGGGTATATTATATTCTATCCAAAACTTTTTCAAGTATCAACTGTTGGTCAATCACTTTTATAACAGTCAATCTTTCGAAATATGTTGTCAATTTAGTTCAACTTAACGATGAAAAAATGAGCATTAAATGTCACTTTAAAAA